GATATGACAACATGTAAGTGCTTTTAAAGCATTTGCCTACTATAATACAAGTACTAATCAATCATTAGCCACATTTTTAAAGTCCCCTGGTCTTCAGCAGTTCTGCCATGAAAACAATGCATTTACCTTAGCAGACGTTCATCAAAGTTTGAATAACACTGATCGGGTTACTGCTATAATTCAAAGACAGAAGCTTTTACATTTTCCAGAAGGGCAGCACTATAATGGAGTTGCCTTTGAAATGCAGATAAATCCTCAGATCAAGGTATGTACTTTGCAAGCACTTCTTTAATACCTTCAGGGTATTAATTTATTATTCTAGGAATATATTCAGGCAAAGTATCAAGATGAGAGTGAATTTATGTTAATCTGTGCATTGAAGGAGCAATTAGAGCTCCTTATAACACTCAAGTCATTTGAAGTTGATATGTCTTATAAGCGGCTCAAGGCTGCTAAATTAAATGAAGTTGTCTTTACAACTTATTTACCAAACCATGGCAAAAGTAAGTACTTACTACTTGATAGGCACTTCATAAGCACTAATACAGTGAAAAATAACTTCAGTCATTACCTTAGTTCGAGTGTTCACCAATCAAGAGACCCCAATTGGATACTATCGACTCTTTAAAAGAGTCTTTCAGGTTATTGCTAATGTAACTGGGCAATCAGTTCACTTCTCGCATATCCATCAAGAAGGCTTTCAAGGAATCGTTTGTGACATGGACAATAAACAAACAAGTGGTAAGTAAAATTTATGTGGAAGCCTTAGTACATGATAAATGCTAATCTAGTGCTTTTTAAGGGCTTGGAAAGTACTTATATGAGCTTGATCCTTCGCGTACTACTGAAGAACATCTTCGTAGTACTATAGTCTTTTGCCAGGTCCACTTTCATCGAAATATTACCAAGGCTGTTGGAAATCATCCCAATCAGCATGGGATCCGTCAAAGAATGGCAGGTTTATTAACCTGTAAATCTATGGAGGACTATTATAAATTACTTGATTTATTGCAAGGTGAGTACTGGTTAGTGCTTGATAAATGCTATTTTAGCACCTCTACTAACAACAAACCTAGCACATGAGACTGATAATGTCTTTCACTGGGCACAACACAAGCGAGATCCAGTAATTGCAGCTGGGTTAAACAAATACTGCTCATTAATTCCATCTGAACATTGGCATTTTATCCGAAACTCAACAAATACTGCAGAGCAAACTCATAATAAATCCTATGCCTTTGGAAGACAGCAATTGCTACTGCCTGCAGTAAAAAGGTATTTAGTTTATGTCTTTCTAGCACTTTATAAGTACTTATAATCTTCTAGTGCCTGGCTTCTTGATAAGCGAGATATTCAACAGTACCTTGGACGTGAAATCTTTGGCATATTTCATACCAATCGGACAGCTAATATGGAAACTAATTATTTGCGTCATATGCAACGGGATTGTAAGTACTACATTATGCACCTTGTACTAAAGAAGTGCTTGACTGTTGTTTAATAATTGTTCTAATTAATATATATTAGTCTCCCGCAAGCGGCAACACCCATCCAGTTCACCTACTGTGGATGATGATAATGTTCAATTACCAAATGCTTCCGGTATAATATCACCATCTTTAAGGCATGAACAATCATCACCTTCAGTAAGGCAATCTTCCATTCATGAACGATCATTATCAAGGCAATCCTCAAGCCGTGGAAGAACTCCAACCCGGTAAGCGCTAATCAAGTACCTAATAAATGTCATAGGATACTAATTGAGAATTAAGGTCCTCTTCATCTGCACTTCGACGGGTTGCTTCTGCAAACATAGAAGTTCAACAGGCTCAACTTGATATTGAAAAGGCAAAAGTTGAGATTGAAAGAGAAAGATTGAAGCTTGAACAAGAACGGGTAAAGCTTGCAAGAGAACAGGCTGAGGTTCGACAACTTGAATTGCAGAATTTAGAACGTGAGAGAGAATTATACAAAAAATAACAAAGGAGATATTACTCAGGTCCATTAAACACTTTAAAAGGTTCTTTTTTAATGTTTAAAAACAGATTATCCATTCTATAAACATATCTATTGCAAGCACCATCTATTACTCTGCATCAGTTGGAAATGAATTTGGGTCGAAATGACAAAAGTTATCACAACAATCCTCATTTTTGCAGCAGCCTAAGCACTTAATAAGCATATATCAAGCTTTCAAAAAACTTTTTTACTTACCCTTTGCTCTCAATCCCTTTGCTGCACAACTAACACATGGAACAGCATGGCCATTGTCCCTGCACCAACGTTGCATAGCAGCACATGATACCTGAGCACTTATCAGACATAAAAAGGTATAAAACAAGTGCTTTTAAGGTACTTACAGTGCCCTTCTTCGTGAGAGGGAATGGCGGCTTGGCATGACCAGGGGGTGTGGTGGCCCTGGCGGGCTCGGGATGAGTGGACTTTGAAGGGCTGGGGACAGGCTCAGGAGGGCCTTCAATAATATTCTTGAAGAACTCTGTTGAAGTCCTTTGTAAGTGCTTGGAAAGTGCCTGTAAAGTAGTTGAAATATACTTACTAACTGCTACCTTCACTGCCTCTGGTTTGGGCCGTCCAGTTCCAGGACTCGCAACATTAACGTTATGGTAGTGTTTCACATGGTAACGCAGGTCATTGGTCCCAGGAAATGCTTTCTAAGTACATAGTTAGCATCAGAAAAATAATAAATAAGTGAAATTAAGAATCTTACTTTTCCACGAATACAGTCTTCCACACGACAGAACAGCTCATCGACATGAATGACAGTCTCCTCATGCTCTCCCTATGCACTTGTTAAGCGCTTTTCAAGCAATAATATAGCATTTATTTAGTACCTCCTTGATCAGAGGTAGCGGCAGGGTTCCAGCAGGCACATGGGCGAGATAGGCTTTGTACGCGGGCTGCTCTCATTAATAATGTATTTATTAATTGCTTCTTAAGCACATGGTTGATATTTCCTTACCACATCTGCAAGTGTAGAAGGCATTATGACGGCAGAAATGGGGACAGTGTATCAATTGCGTAGGCAGATAAAGGATTTCAACATAAGACAGAGTGTAATTTTGGGGCGCCTTCAGTGTTGTGGATCATGTGATTTAGCGGGGCTCGGTAAGGTAACTCCGGGGCTCTCCGAGAAATAAAGCGGGGCGCTCCGACCTATGCACTCTGATTCTGCTCTCTCCGTCAGCGATAAGAGCGATAAGCAAGCGATAAGAGAAGCTCGGAGCGCCTGCATCCGGACGCGTGATGGCACGTGACCTTAACCTCCCGATCGGGCCATCTCATGGCGGCGACGGAGACGTCTAGATCCGGTTCACCGCCTCGCCCGGAATGTCCTTTCTCCGGCCGGGACCCCAGATGGCTCCCCATTCGGCTTAGCCGCCAGACGAAAAATCAATCGTAATTGGCCAGGGATCATCGCACTGCGCAGTCCGCCTCCTTTCTTTTCGGTTTCCTCTGTGCTGGCCTTTTGTTTTTCTCCCAGCATCTTTCTTCCTTTTTCCTCATTGCTGTGTTTTCTTCAGTTTTGTGTCTCTTCTCATCACTATCATTGCTCTGCTGGAGGAATTGAACACATTTTACGCCGAGTATAATTGAGTACCTCCGCGGAATTCATCTGTCATCCCTTTTCAAAGAAAAAAAAAACACCCGATACATTCTCATAATGGCTCCCTCCAACTTGGAAAAAGAAGACCACCAGCGCGATGCTGAGTTCGCCCGTGTCCTCCATGGAAAGTCCGCTGGGGCTCAGGGTGGTTTCGCTGCTATGCGCGGCAAGGACGCCGCTGCGCAGAAGGCTGCTGTTGATGAGTACTTCAAGCACTGGGACAACAAGTCTGCTGAGGAGGAGACAGAGGAGACTCGCGCTGTGAGTATTTTTGTGTGCGGGTTATCTTGTGCGACATGTTTAGTGGCTAATTGTTTGTTTTTCAATAGGCCCGCCGAGCGGAGTATGCGACTTTGACCAGACAGTAGGTTATCCCTCAATCAAACTGAATACGTGGATTGAAGTTGACAATTGGCAGCTACTACAACCTTGCTACCGACTTTTACGAGTACGGATGGGGAACCTCGTTCCATTTCTGCCGATTCGCCCGCGGCGAACCCTTCCTCCAAGCCATTGCCCGTCACGAACACTACCTTGCTCACCGCATGGAGATTAAGGATGGTATGAAGGTTCTGGATGTCGGCTGTGGTGTTGGTGGCCCGGCTCGTGAGATTGTCAAGTTCACAGATGCCAATGTTGTCGGCCTCAACAACAACGACTACCAAATCCAGCGTGCGACGCGGTATGCTGAGCGTGATGGTTTGTCGCACAAGCTCAGCTTCACCAAGGGTGACTTCATGCAAATGAGCTTCCCAGACAACTCCTTCGATGCTGTCTACGCCATCGAGGCGACTGTCCACGCTCCTGAGTTGGAGGGTGTCTACAAGGAGATATTCCGTGTGCTGAAGCCCGGTGGTGTGTTCGGTGTCTACGAGTGGCTCATGACAGACGAATATGACAACAACAACGCTGAGCACCGCAAGATCCGTCTTGGTATCGAGCAGGGTGACGGTATCTCCAACATGGTCAAGGTTTCGGAGGGCCTTCAAGCTGTCCGCAACGCTGGTTTCGACCTCGTCCACAACGAGGATTTGGCCGACCGTCCTGACGCGATTCCGTGGTACTACCCTCTCGCCGGTTCTTTCAAGCACATGACTTCCCCTTGGGACTTTTTCACCATTGCCCGTATGACATGGTGGGGTCGTGGTCTTGCCCACCGTTTCGTCGGTGCCTTTGAGAAAGTCGGTCTCTTCCCTAGGGGATCCCAAAAGACAGCCGACAGCTTGGCGCTGGCTGGTGACTGTCTCGTTGCCGGTGGTGAGAAGAAGCTTTTCACACCGATGTACCTGATGGTCGCTCGCAAGCCCGAGTAAATGCCCGCCTTCTGAGCTGTACAGATGTTCATGTTTCGCCGGCATCCTATAAACGCGGCGGCTTTTTTTCTTTTCCACTTCAATTCTGACATCTATCATTTTCCTTTACTGTGTTTATTGCCCCTATCTTTCTGCTTGTTATAATATTGCATACCGCCTTAGGATGTCACGTTAATTTGCTTTTTCATCCTCATGTTCTCATCCGCCCTATGAGTTACTACTTAATATGTGCGGATGATGATGATATTCGCGTTTTTCTTTTGCTGTTTTTCAAAATAGAGATGTAATAGTTACTGGACCTGGAATGAATGGAGCGTCTTTCTTGTGTACTGTCAAACTCCGTGTAGTCTGAGTTGTGCATTCTCAATCACTAGTCATAGATCATGTCGATGAATATATACGCCGCACACTAGGACGCCATCTTTGTTGAGTGTTGGCTTCCAGCTTTTATCGATGTTCCTGTGTCGTAGTTAATAAGAACTCTGGAGCACCTATCCTACCGAAATCAGTCTTCCTAACCTCCGCACCTCAGTATTCTAAAGGAATGGCAACATTCATTCCAAGGACTCAAAGATAAACCTCCCTACTCCTATATCATCCTTAGTATCTCCGAGCACTACCCGATCGTGCAGCACGTCGGCAATTGCCGCTTTAGGACAGCACGAAATCTTATCAGATGGATCATCTGATAAAAACCTCGCCAATCACGGCCCCTTCCCGCGGGCCCATTCCCTTTCAATAAGAGACTCGCAACACTCGGCAAAACAGAAAAGAAAAAGCAAAATGTCACCCTCATAAATTACAGGATTCCACTATATTACCCAATGCGCCGACGCCTCACCCGGGGGATTAATCATCCGCGTGCTCCTGCTCCTGCTACGGCTGAAAAGACCTGCCTAAATGGCGGCGAGGCTGGGACTTATGTCTCAGCTCTTTGTCTTCTTGATTACGGGTGAGAATTAGATTTCTGATTCAGGGAAATACAGCGGCATTGCGTGTGGTTCTGTTGCTTTCCGACTGTCCCGATGATCGGACTTTGCGACCATGTCCTCCAACTCCCTGTTCCATAGAGCTTCCGCGGGGCCGTCATCCTCCGCAGTATACACTCAGCTCCCGAACGACTCGACTTCTTTGCTAGATTCTAGCACGCAGGTTGACTACTCACAAGATGGTATCGCAGGGAATAAACCTGATTCAAATCGAATCGCTATCGACACCCGAGACGAAGACGAGATCGACGAAGAAGAGGAACGCAGACAGGATGGAGTCCGGCAGGCCGAGGCTATCACATCCTCCTGGACGTTTCGAGCTTTGGTATTCACCTACGTTTTGTATGATCTACCTTGACTGGAAGTCAACCGACGAGAAATGGAACTAACGGAAACAGTATCTACATCTTAACGTTCGTCAACTCGCTACAGCAACAGGTCACAGGCAGTCTGGGCCCATATGTCACCTCCAGTTTCAAGCAACATTCTCTGTTCTCAACGACCCAAACCTTGTCCAGTATTGTCGCCGGTTGTTCGAAGCTCCCGATTGCGAAGATCCTAGATATATGGGGCCGAGTTGAGGGTTTCATTCTGATGACGGTTCTGTGCACACTGGGACTTGTCTTGATGGCAGTTTGTAAAGATGTTGAGACTTATGCTGCGGCTCAGGTAAGTATTCCGAAACATTCTGTTGATCTAAGCTGACAGTTTAGGTCTTCTACTGGGTTGGATATAATGGAATGGGATACGTGATCAACATCTTCCTGGCGGATACCACGTCCCTCAGAAACCGGATGATTATGTTTGGACTCAACTCGACACCGTTCATTGTGACCGTCTTCATTGGTCCATACGTTGCGCAGTTATTCCACACATACAGCACATTCAGATGGGCATTTGGTTTCTTCGCCATTGTCGTTCCTGTTGTGTCGATTCCCGTCGCGGCCATTTTCCTGTACAGCAACTATAAAGCGAGGAAAATGGGCCTTGCTCCTCTTCGCACTGTCAGCGGGAGAACCACCCTCCAGGTCCTTTACCACTATGCGCGCGAGTTTGATGGTAGGTCTCGATTCCTTGAAACGTTTACTTCATACTGACATACGGTAGTTATTGGTTTGCTTTTGGTGGTTGGCGGCTTTTCCTTGCTGCTCCTTCCACTTACCCTTGCTGCAAGTTCTGTGAATCAGTGGCACAATTTGTATATCATTGCGATGCTGGTTATTGGAGTCGCTCTTCTGGCACTATTCTGCGTTTGGGAAAAGTATTTTGCTCCAGTGACATTTGTCCCATTTCAATACCTTCAAGATCGAACTGTGTTTGGTGCTTGTGTTTTATCCGCTACCCTTTTTTGCAGCTTCTAGTATGTCTTTCTACCTCGCTGCTTATATGGTCGGAGCTAACAAACCGCAGCACATGGGATGTCTACTTCTCCTCCTACCTGCAGGTAGTCCACAACCAAAATATCCGCAACGCCGGCTACATAGCAAACATTTTCACCATCGGCTCCTCCTTCTGGGCTCCCATAGCCGGTCTCATGATCCGCTACACTGGCCGTTTCAAGTGGCTGGGTCTAGCAGCCGTTCCCGTTTCAGCAATTTTTACGGCCGCAATGATCTACTTCCGACACCCGGGTACAAATATCAGTCTTATCGTGTTGATCCAGATCTTCATGGCCTTTTCCGGGGGTACACTAGTCATGACAGAGCAACTAGCCGCTATGTCTGCAGTACCGCATAACGAAGTCGCCGTCGTTCTTGCACTCGAAGGTCTCTTTATGAGTATCGGAGGATCAATCGGACAGTCGATATCGGGTGCTATCTGGACGAACATCCTGCCGGACAAACTAGTTGAATACCTCCCTGATAGTGAAAAGGCAAATTGGAAGGATATCTACGGATCACTTGAAGTGCAGCTGTCGTACCCCGTGGGCAGTCCCGCAAGGAATGCGATTATAATGGCGTACGGATACGTGCAAAGACGGATGTTGCTTGCGGGTGTGTGCTTTATGCCGTTGGCCCTTGGGTGTGTGTTGCTTTGGAAGAATATTGATGTTAAGGGGAAGCAGCAGACGAGGGGGATGGTTTTTTGAGCGTTGCATGTTGTATGTGAGGTGCTTGGTGTTGGTTCATTTGTATAGTGCTTGTAAAAGCGTCTGCATTGCATAGGTAGAGTATAGCAGTGATCGTCTGGACGATCTTGAACTCAGTTAAACATAGTCCTTTGACAGATATCTTGTGACCTTCTGAACTCCCGCATAAAATAGCCATGAGTCCTTATTGCATTAGAGTAACCGTAAGATATTATATTAAAAACCGAGCAAATATAGGATAATCGATACTCAGAACACGCCATAAACTCCATCCGTAAAACATCCCAAAACACCTATCCGCCAATATCCCCCTCTCAATCCCTAGTTACTCAGAAAGTAATTCGCCGCAACCACCTCCCCAAGACCGATTTCTCTCGCAAACCCATCCAAATCAAACCTCACCCGCCCCCAAATCCCCATCTCCTTCCCTCCCTCCGACGTATATCTATGCACCTCGAACTCTTCCGGCTGTTCATACAGCAAAAACACATAGCGGTGCGGGCTACTTCCCGGTGGGGGTTCGGGGCCAATCCAGTTCGCGATGAAGGGTGCGTTTGCTTTTAGGATTGTAGTAGTGCCATCTTCGGAGGGAGCGGGATGGAGAGATGGTTGGATCCAGTGCAGGATTGGGCTTAGGATAGAGAAGGAGGGGAAGGGGCCGTCTAGATCTATGCTGACGAGGAGGTAGGTTTTGTTGGCGTTGGTAGCTGTAGAGAAAGAGATCTCGGGGATTCCTTGGGCTTCTGTTTCTGTTTGATTAGATGAGGTTGACAGGTTAGAGGTGATGGCCTCCGGGGGGGACGAACCTCCTCGTGGGATGAATTGGCCCGGAGTGACTTTGTAGGAGCCGACTGCCACGCCTAGGACTTTAGAGGGGTCCCGCGAGCAGAGAGAGAGGGCTGGGTCGACACTTTCGCAGACTCGCATGGTTGCGTTGCTGGTTGGTTGTTTTGGAGAGAGACGGAGGGGTGAATGTGAGAAGGCGAGACGGTTATAAGCCGGGGTTAAGCGGATTTAGGGATCTCGTGACCAGAGATAGGTTGATGTTGAGGTGACTTCATGTGCGTTGAACAGGGTTAGCGTGAATGTGAGAGAGCAGGGAGGGCTTTTATATTCTATCCTTGAATATGAATGGCCCCACTTTCCGGCGAGTTATATTGTATTACTATGCAATTAGGCATACATTGGCTATTTACCGTTCCCTCTACCTTGTGGCATATTATAGGCCTGTTAGTGCCCTGCTGTAGATGTTTTCTGTGGAAGCCTGGGGAACCTTTCCATTTTCGGTCCGACTTCACATGCTATATTTCGATACTCATTCTGTGTTGCGCCGTGGGACTATGACATACTAGGCACAACCTGGAGTCTCAGAAATGCGAAAGACGTACTTAGTAGCACTTGCTTTTCCATCCTTCAGATCTTTCAGGGCCTGCTCAACGCCTTCTAAACCGCCCGATCTGATCTCGAAAGGATGACCTGAGAGACTCTTGTCCTGCAGGGCTCGAGTAAAATATCGCGACGTGGCAAACCCTAGTTCCTCGTTATTCTCGAACTCTGGTTGTTTATGCACCGAGCCCACAGAAGTCACCGAGTGGATAGCAGGCGAGACATCGAAATCGTTTGGTAAGATGAAATCAACCATTCCGCCAGGAGCCACCGACTGCCTGAGGACCTCTGCACTTTGTGGGACTATAGCAGCGTCAAGTGCATGATGAACAGTTGAGTGGCCAGTTTGCTGTAGGCCCTTACGGATTCCCGCAATGGTTGCTTCGACTCCCTCGCGATAATCAATAATGGTGTCGCCTTTGCTCCGGTCAATCAGTGTCTCCACATAGTGAGAACCTTTCCCGGCGACTGCAATGATCGGATGGATGTTGCTGTTGAATGCCAATTTGATAGCAAATGAGCCGACAGCTGAGCTCGCGCCGTACACAATGAACGGAATCGACTTCTGGGCAGGCATCCAGGGGAAGGGGAAGCGATTATGCGCGTACAGAGATACGGAAGCAGTCAAGGCTGCTAGGGGAATCGTGGCGGCCTCTGCTCATTTCGTCATGGTCAGTCACGGGGTAGCAAGATTATGGCGTCTTGAACGCACCTTCAAAGGATGTGTGCTTTGGTAAATGGAAGGTGGTATAACTCCACGCGATCGCATATTCCGCATAGGAACCCCCAGGCGTGCAAATCTCGTGGAAAGCTGCAACGCGATCACCAGGCTTAAAGCAGTGTCAGTTGGCCAGAACTCAGCAGACACGGTGTTGTATCGCGCACCTTGAATTCAACTACATTCGCGCCGACCTTTTCGACGAATCCAGCAATATCGTCTCCTTGGTTCAATCCATTCTTAGCCTTATCTAGCATGGCAAAGTTGACATCTCCAGCAGCCGCCCAATCCGGGAGCTTCCAGTCCTTTGGATTCGATCCGGAGACTACCACCCTGATCAGAACCTGGTCATCGTTCGGTTCAGGGATCGGGCTGTCGATAATCTTGACAGTCGGTCCGGCAAGGTTGATCGCTTGTTTCATATTGCTCTGAATTAGGAGTAAAGAGAGTTGCCGAAGGAATGGAAGATGTGGTTGGAATGCTAGCAGGAAATTAAGAGGTGAGAAACAGGTATATATATGCAGAGGATCGCATTCCGATTAGAAATGTAATAGCACTCTTCAAGAGTAAATAGAAATGGATTCTTACATCATGGCACTCGATTTTGAATCTAGATGGTATCCCACCGGAACCTCCCACCTTATTGCCCGCCTCCCACCGGAGCCTCCCACTATCACCAATCTAATTCTCACCTGCAACGCACCCAGCGGAGTCGCTATTATGGAAGTGCAAAATTCTATGGCGTCGCCAGAAAAGTTTTCTTGTGATTTCCCAGACTGTAACGCAAGTTATCAACGGAAGGAGCACCTCAGTCGCCACCAAGCGCAACATATCCAGCCTCAGTCTTTCCAATGTTCACTTTGTAATCGGGCATTCAGACGGAAGTAAGCGGTTTCTCGTTTCCGTTTATGCTGGATAATGTTTTTAATGTGTATTCAGTGACACCCTCCGTCGACATATGCGGCGGATCCATGCAGTTGATGAGTCCGCGCCTCGTCCAGGGCATGCCTGCTTGAATTGCCGGAATAGGAAAACTCGCTGTGAGGGAGGGCCGCCTTGCCATGAATGTCTGTACCGGAGGATTTTCTGCTCACTGAGCGAATCACAAGAGATAGGCCGTCGTGATTCTCCCGACAAGTCAACCATGTCATCACAGGACACATTGTCCTCACCACCCAAGACGCAAAAGGATCGATTCTTTGTCAGACTCTACTTTGAACGATTTCACCCTTATTGGCCATTTGTGCATAGTGGGTCGTTCAATCAGTACTACGAAGTTCCTTTACTTGTACAATCGATGATGGTCATCGGGATGTGGGCAAATGGGGGGCAAAGTTCGCGGTCCGCAGCAATTGACCTCCACAATACGCTAGGTTTAGCAATATACCAACAGAGAGTGAGCTGATGCCAGGCAACTCTGATAACACCATGCTTTCACTAACAGTGGTATGCACAGGGGGCATGGGACGCCTCTACCGCAGAGGAGGCATGTGGTTCATGCGCTTGGCCGATTCCGACATACCAGGCAATTCTGCTGCACATAGTTTTCGCTCTAATACATAAAGGCCGAGATTCGTTGGGGTTTGACCTGAAGCCTTCTCTCCCGCCTTCTGACATGGAGCTCCTCGAGTGTCTCGTTGCCAGTTGTAAACGACTAGGCATGCTTTACTATCCAAACATACTTGACCGGTTTACTCCGGAAGAACTTGCTCCATATGTTTGGATCAGCATTGAAGAGATCAAACGATTCAATCTGACCTTGTACAAAGTTTATAATATGGTGAGCAGATCAGCAGCCAAAAATTTCACTGTAAACGACCTGAAGTTCCCATTACCGAAGAACGATCCCTTGTGGAACGCGGTAAGCAAAGAAGAATGGTTGTCTGCTAGCTCTGGAGATCTGAACAATTTTAACTCGGATGACGTTCTGGAAAACGAATGGATCTCCAACTCAGCAAAACTTCTAGTTAAACTTAATTGGTTTTTAGCATAGTCAAATCTCAAGCTTTTCTCATACCAGAATCTTGCGTCAGCATAATTGGATAACGGTAACTAATTGGCCACTATTGCCCACCGGCGCTCCTACCACTCCATTTTCACGAATCTCGTCGTATCCGAGGGTTGCAGTGGGATTGACCAATCTCATGTAGTAAGCCAATCCTGACAAGCCAGAGAAATACTTGGTTGATCTATGGATACTCATATATAAACATCCGATCTTGTCGCGGAAATGAGCTTCAAATCAAATGTAAATGCACACTCTGGGTTTCGAGCCTCGTTTAATAACAGTAAATGCCATGTCCCCAAAATTCCTCGTGCAGTTTCCTCCACAATTTTTCAACGCAGACTCCAATTCTTCAACTGGCATCTCGTACGGTGAGAAGACCCTTCACAGAAACCTGTCACTTAGTTCTGGGATGCTCCCAGAGTGTTCTGGGAGTAGCTTGGCTAGTATTCCAAGAGCTTCCGGAATGGCTGGGATTCCGTGGTGCATGTCTTGGAGCGCAGAGGGACGTTCCCTGTTCACTCGAGGGACAGCCACATGAAACTCATAAATGCGACGGGCCCGTAAAGGGAGTAAAGTCGCTCGCAGAATAATGTTACAATTATGCACTTCTAGTCTAGACCAGCGGAATATTAAAAGTCGCCGATGCCCTGAGCACCACGCTCCAAGTATTTAAGCGCGTCATTAGTGTAACAGCTGCCCTGAAGTCAACTCATTCAAGCTTTCTCCTCTTCCACGGCTAATGATGAAGTCAATGCGGCAGCGGTGAGCAGAAAATGATGGCGCATATACCTTGCTGCCGTCTACTGACTGAGCTGAGACAAAGAGACATGACAGTATACACATACGGAATTGAAGAAAGGCGGTGTTAGGGTCGATAATAATGTGTATTACTGATGCTTTGAGGGACCAGAGCAACCGATCTTATCAGATAAGATCAGACACTGGTGTCATTTAGGATTAGGAATTCCCCGAGAGTTTTCGGAGACTCGGACGACGTAAACACCGAGATATTCCGAAATAGGAAGCCAAACCGGCGGCAAGGAGAGTGGAAAGTCCAAGAACAAGCGCAGAACCAAACTATCAGTCGAATAATCGGTCGCGCCCAATGCCATGCCATAAAGCGATGAGTTGACAAATTTATGGATCCTTTGATTTCGGGTTTTACGGCTTGCGCCAATGGATTAACTCTGTTGCGCGCAACCGGGTGCGGCCGATGCTCTTATAAAGACGCCGGATTTGGTCGCGACGCCCCCATGGTTGGCGTGATGTGACCGGCCAGAGTTATCTTCCATTGATCTTCTTTTTAACTGCTCATTTCTTTCCCTTTTTTTGTTCCATTTTCCCGCGCCATTGTCAAGTCCTGTCCATATTCATGGCTGTCGAAAGTATGTCGCCGGAAGAAGGCTCTATCAAGGAACCCCCTTCGACTCCCGCGACAGCCGTGGGCTTCCTCGACCCGTCACTGAATGGCGTGAGAAATCGGGTTCTTTTTCAGCTGGGGCGCATGGGTAAGTCGGTCAGAAAGCGATCAATTGCATACATATGACTCGTGGCTAATAAGGTTCTCCCTGCATAAAACAGTGTTGATCCTATGCGTCTTCGTCCTGTGCATTCTTTCGCTATTTTGGGCCGTGCAGTTCCGAGTCGAGAATAATCTGCCCTCGTTGACGGTTTGGGTGGTGGATTTCGACGGCCAGGTTGATCCGTATCTCACGAACGATACAATTGTCGGGCCTGCTATAACGGATGTTGCGGGGCAGATTATTGAGTCATCGACGGATCGCGTTGGGTATACTATCGTTTCACCAGCGGAGTTTGACTATAATGTTTGGAATGTGCGACAGCGGGTGTATGATGAGCATGCGTGGGCTGCTATTGTCGTCAATCCTAATGCGACAACGATGCTGCGCGACGCCATCAGAAACGGGAATTCATCATACGATCCAACAGGGACAGTTCAATTTATCATCATTTCCGCTCGGGACGAATCTACCTGCACCAATTACATCAGACCGGCATTAACTAGCTTCCAGATTCAAGCTCAGATGGAGTTTGGGCCCCGTTGGGTACAGTCGTTGGTGCAGGAAAGGGCCAACATCACCAACGTACCGCAAGCCGCGAACCCAGGCATTGGGTTCAACACGTACGATCTCAGACCATTTGCGCCAGCCGTCGCAACGCCAGCCGTCACCATTGGTTTGATCTACTTGATTATCGTTGCGTTCTTCAACTTCCCATTCTTGATGCCAATCCACATGCAGCTCGTCAAGGGCAACCATCCGCCATTACATATGTGGCAGTGGCTGGTATGGCGCATTTTAACACATATCGGGTCGTACTTTTTCTTATCACTATTCTACTCGTTCGTATCGCTGGCGTTCAAGATCCCGTTCACCAATTCGCCTGCACCGGATACTATCTCCGCTGAGAACCCCAATGCGTATGGGCACGGATCATTCGTGGTCTTTTGGATGCTGAACTGGGTCGGAATGGCGGCACTGGGATTCCCATGTGAGAACATGGCCATGGTTCTCGGTATGCCGTGGAGCTCCTTCTTCCTCATTTTCTGGGTTATTACCAATGTTTCGACGGCGTTTTACTCGCTGGACTTGGCACCGCAATTTTTTGCATGGGGTTATGCCTGGCCTTTGCATCGGAGTAAGTACTCTTCCTCACTCCTGTATTGTCGGGAAGTAGCTAACATAAACAGTCGTCGAGGCATTACGGACGATCCTTTTTGGAACACATTCCCGGATTGGATTGGACTTTGGTGTTCTTTTTGCATGGATCGGAGTTTCGCTTGCTTTCTATCCGTTTGCGAATTTCATCATGCAGTGGAAGATCAAGAGAGGATGGTGATTTAGACATTCTCATTTCTCGTGGACATATAATATTTAGACATGATTATAATGACACTTTCATTCAAGATTGAGCCATAAGCATGTACAAAAGTGTATTACGCTCACGTCAGCCTTATGGGATCACTTGTGCATGATAATTGTGATCTGGACTGTTTCGCACAAGATTACCCCACTGCCAGTTCATCCGTATCTAGTGTCCAGTGTTACGCGACGCCATAAAAATGCTCAAATGTTCGTTAGGCTTTCGATGGGCATGTACACAGCAATAGCTTGACATAGGCACCCAATTCGTGACCGTCACTGCTGATGACCACAACCATGATTGGTGGAAAAATCCTGGGATTATCGTGACTGGCCAAATGTCAGATGCTCGCAGATCGTGGAATCTCATGTGCATTCCGGTGATCCGGCGCTGGTCTGATCTCACATGTTTGCTGACATGTATTGGCAATATGTAGCCGAAGAGTACAATCCTTTTATTTGTCTCCATGCCTCCTTTCAGGAGGAAGTCCTGCGGCTCTGCACTCATTCGTTGCAACCTAACGATTGAATTCCTATGCCAGAATGAAGCATCCAGACCCAATCTCGGATGTACAGCCCCCGTTTCCTTCAGCCACAGCTACCATGAGGAAAAAACACCCTCAAAAAGTCAACACCGGTTTGCCCGAAGAACGCTACTCTAGCATCCAATCGCCATGGCTACTCTCTGTTCGTGCCGCAGTTCTTTTATTTGTGGCTCCACTGGTCACAGCAAGCTTCTTCATTACAATTTCGCAGTTCGAAGGGTCTCTGTCCAGGCTCGTAACGATCGGTTTTAAACAAGGCTTATTGAAAATTATGATAGCTCACGGTTTAAGCCTCAGTCTTAAGCCCACGATTGCTTATGCGTGTTATATCGCTCTGCAAGCTGTGTTATTTCAACTGCTGCCAGGTCCAATAAACACAAGCCAACGTACACCAGCTGGATATCTTCTCACATACCGGACGAATGGGCTGTATGCATGGGCGGTTACTCATGCTATCTATGCGCTGCTCTGCTGGTACGGCCTTTTGGATCCTGGGTTTGTGATCAGGAACTGGAATGGGATATTTGTGGCGATGAACCTGTTTGGATACTTGGCTGTCGTTTTTGCTTATGCAAAGGCGTATTTGAGACCTAGCCATCCAGAGGATCGCAAGTTTAGTGGTATGTTTTTCTGCATGGGCTGGTTAAGCACCACTAATTAGAGGCTGCATTAACAATATAGGCTCCGCGCTCCACGATCTTTACGCTGGCATTGAGCTGAATCCAAGAATTGGAAAAACCTTCGACTTTAAGTTCTTCACTAACGGAAGGATTGGGATGATTACCTGGACATTGATGTATGTAATAGCCCTTCCACGTCAAACGTATTGCTAACTCCTAGACAGAGATATCTCAAGCATAGCGTACCAGCACCAAACCCACGGCACCGTATCCTCATCCCTAATCCTCGTCACAACCCTCCAAACCATCTACACGATTGACTTCTTCGTCAACGAATCCTGGTACCTCCGCACCATCGACATAACCCACGACCACTATGGCTTTTATTTGATCTGGGGGTGTTTTTGCTTTCTCCCGGCAAACTACACGCTCCAAGCGCAGTATCTAGCTCACTATCCGACATCACCCTCGACCATCTACCTAGCCGCAATATTCAGCATCGGTATTGCTGGCTACTCTCTCTTCCGCTCCGTAAACAACCAAAAAGACTGCGTCCGTCGCTCAAACGGAAATTGTCTGATCTGGGGAAAACCAGCTCAGTATATTACAGCAACATACAAAACATCCGACGGTGTAGAGCACAAGAGTATCCTCCTGTGCAGTGGATGGTGGGCCTGTGCAAGACACGTGAACTACGTGGGCGATTTGCTTCTGTCATTTAGTATGTGCGCGTTGGTTGGGACGGATAAATTGTTGGTGTGGTTGTATGTGATCTGGATGGGGGGATTGCTTGTTCATCGGTGTATTCGGGATGAGGGACGGTGTAAAGCTAAGTATGGAGTAGCTTGGGATGAGTATTGCAGATTGGTGCCGTGGAGGCTTGTTCCGGGTGTTTGGTGATCTACTGGGAAGAATCCCGACACTTGAGAAATCCAGGACTTGGGACCATGATATATACATTCCATTCTGTACAATCTACCATACCCAGATACTATACAATCTAAGCCCACTATACACATTTTCCATCAAACAGACAAGAAATCACTAATCAGCCGGCTGCTCAGGATGCTCCCCCATGCTCTCCAACCGACCCCTAGCCTGCTGCTTCCCCACATCTGTGACATTTGGATTATGCGTCGCCCTGCAATTCATAAGCCTTTACTCCAAAAAATCATGACACCAGTTTCATTTCAAAGAAACAAAGAAGGCAGTGGGTACATACGCTTTTAATCCCCGCGCAACATTTCGATTATGCCTTTCTTCGTCATCGCTCAGACCGGCCTCATTGCCTGGGGCCTCGTTGGATTGGATTCGCTTTAGCTCTTCTTCGGCGTGCAGGCGGCCTTCGGAGGAGACATTGCGGTTATGGATGGCGCTGCGATTGCCCCGGTGCCGTGGTTAATGATTGGTTTTTGGCAGGGTTGAGGGAGACTCACGCTTTATAGCCTCGAGCGACGTTTCCGATGTCCTTCATTATTCTCATTAATTTGTCAAAGGTTTTATTAATATAATTCCGTAGATAGTCCTGCTAATCTGAGGAACGGCATTCAACATTGTCTGTACGGGTTTATATACATGTATTCCCTCTCTGGGGCAAATATGACGTCTATTGAAACAAAAAAAAAAATACAAGCGGCCACCACATGGCCACCACCACAATGAGCATTCTAGATATTCTAGACCGTTGATAATGTTCTAGAAGGGATGTTTATGGATGGAAATATGTCGCCGGGATATGACGCGATATGCACGTTGTATGGTGTTCTGCGGAGATGAAATCCGGTGTTAGGGTTGTAGAAGTATATTTGGACGTCGTTGTACTTGGCGGGAATGGCTAATATGTTGAAAAGGCTTGAAACGTTGGGTTTTGGGGATGATTGTGGTTATTTGTGTGGATTGCCGTTTAGTAGACATGAACATATATTTCACTTAGTAAAAAGCCACCGATAATACTATACAAGCTTTGTTGCAGGTTTAAGTTGCTTGGATACAAAGGAGTTACGAGAGAACAGAGAATCTCGTAGCTTGATCGTTGTCTCAGAAATCATTTTTGGAGTATTCACGCTACATCTACAGCATAGCTAGCATGATGGCTGGCCTACGCCAATGCACAAACGTTCCTACTGAGGTATCCAATTTATGAGCACATAAAGCTCTAATATAGAGGGTCTTTGCCAATTTTAAATTTCATAAAGGTGCTGCACACACATCCAAATATGCCCAGAACATCCAGAACGTTCCTTCCTATTCACCCAGAATGTACCCATTTTCCATATAATTCGTTTCAAACAGCGCAAAGCACCCGTCCGTCAACATTCTTGCAAGTCAATCCACCACCACAAGTGTTGATGGGGACCGGGATACCGTCCACGCCGCACTGCATGACGGTGTCCTTGTTTTCTGTTTAGAATTAGTCTCTCGTACTATATTACAGGAAGGGCATCTATTGATGACATGACTTACGATAGGCACCGCAAGAGTACTCGCCAGGCGTGCAAGCAGAGGCAAGGCCGAGGAAGAGAGTGGCGAGTGGGAGGGTGATGGAGAGACGCATTTTGTTTGCCGTAAAGTGGATTGAATGTTGATTGGTTGATGGAAGCTTGAGAGATGGAAGGAAATTGAGAAAAGCTGTTGTTGCTGATGAGATTCGCATCAACAGGACATCGAGGGGTTTAAATATCTCAACTCGCCGTAACACGACGCAACGATTCTTTTGTCGTGCTACCCGATGCTACTATTCTTGTCGTATCTATATGCATGTCTCATACTTCCTACGCCTGGCATATCGATGGATTTCCGAGGCGTTCCACGCTTTGTCTCGATATGGTGCCAATCGGGTACTTGCATTCAGGGATATGATGGATGGTTGGGATTTCAACATTTCTCCGTGAGTCGTTGCAGAAATTTATTTTATAATTGCATATTCCTTTTCCTGCTGTATGAATAATGTCGCGTATTTGCTAAGCGTGGAGAACGCTGAGGCTGTCAAGCTCGTATCCATTTTTGGATAACGCTGCTGTTCGTATTATTGACAATTGTTCAATCACATCCTTGTCTTGCGCATAGTATTATTATACCCCTACTATATACAGTAATCCATCAATACGATTAAAATCCAATGCCAAAGGGATTATCCGCTAATGAGGGCAATCTCGAACGAATCCGCCATGTATAACCCCATATTTCGGTGCCTACCACCAAAGTCCGGTCTAAAGACAGCAAGGATCGATTGTCAGTTTATATCTCACTGTCATATATACAGGTCACTGTATGATGTAGGCACGTCTCAGTCAGAAGGATCATGTATGTGCTGGCTGAGATCCGCTTAAGTGGAGTCGTTATTTGTATACGAATGCCTGGTTTATGAGACCACATACTGGCCCCCAATCGAAAGTATTAGAATAATAATGGTCAGCTATATATGGAACCTCTATCAGTGGGATGTATGGCAGTGGCTGCCAGTTTTCGGGCTCGGTATTCGAATCTTAACATGGTTTCTCGTATGACAGCTGGATTATACACGGCCCCAAATACCTCGAGAGAGACAAAGACAATCCATGCTGCATTTACGAATATTTTTCACCGCCTAGAAACATTCGTATACCAGGACACCAGTCAAACTTCGGAATCTGAAAACGTCTCGGTGGACTATCTGCGCCGGGGATGAATTGTGGGCGAGAGAAAGGTGCTAGTCAGCAAAGATATTGAGAACAAGACCTTCACCTCGCACAGTTTGAGGCTTGAACCTGGGGGCCAGGTTCAACTTCTTTGAACCATGATCTGATGGACATTGTGGATACTACGTCCTGAGCCTAATAAGCCCCCGCTGGAAGGTACTGCAGTTAATTGATATCTCAAAGACTAGGGGAAAAGCCAGGCTTTGAAGAGCCCATCGGCAGCAGCCAAAACCATCCTTATCTTAGATGTCGCCGTCAGCGATTTGTCGAAGAAGGCAGTAACGACCCCTCCCCTATTAAAACCAACTTCCCTCTTGTATTATGGAATTCCTTCTCCTTGCCCCCGAATATATAATTATACTTTGTTTTATAGTGAATTATACTTCTATAAACATTCCGAAATGAGTAGCCATATCGGTAACAGTTCACCAAGCGGAGTACCGGGACTCACAGTCTCAGTCGCAGTCCCATCCAGTCCCTCAATTAGCATCCTTTCTACGTCTCATAAGAGCAGGCTTTGAGCCAGGCCTTAATTTTCCTCGCCTTTTTTAGATCCTTTGCTTTCTTCATTTCTGTTATTGCTATTTAATCTATCGTCGGAATAAAAAGACGGTGTAATTGGCTCCGGCAGTACAGACAGAACGACATTGAGAGAAATATCGTCTTCGGAGAATGCTGAACCATCCAGACTCGCTCAACAGCGAGCACGAATATTTCAATGCCAAATAAAAGAAGGATACATAAGGAGGAAAAAAAAAAAAAATTAAATCCCAGGAGATGAACAATAGATGAAGGAATCCGCTGACAAGATATGAGCGCTGCTTTTCGTCTTGCCTAAATGAAGTCCCTAATATATAAACTGAACGGTGTTTCTTCACCTTCCATATCTGAGGAACATTTGGGCAGCAATGAAAGAATATAGACTGTTGTTTTCTTGTCGTGTGGCATTACCAGGAAATTTCTCGCTTTCTCTCTCCCCGTCACTCTCCAATCACCCTTCATCTCTCCAGGAATGGAAATCCAAGTCATCACCGTGGAAAGCAACGAAGAGAAAGCTTATCTAGGATGCAGCAGCAACTTAATCATCACTGATTACCTCCTCGCGGAATATGACCAGTCAAAAGTGTCGTGAGTCGCTCTTATCCAACTCTCCATTCTCTCGAGCTGCAAGAGTATGGACGCCAATTGAGAGCAAAGAACGCATATGGAGACAGCGTTAACCACTATAGACCCTACTTAATAAAAATAGTCACCCTCTACTGTCACTGGCAAAAGTACCGCTATGCAGTCCCACAACACTTCGTCAAACAAGCTCCAGTCCTTGCCGCTTCCTTAAATCAGCCGCATATACTTCCATATCTCTGGATCAACAAGGCTGACGAATACATAGACCACACCATCGTCAACTGGCTGTACACGGGCTTGTTCGAAACGCTTCGCCCTCCAACCACACAGGGCACAGCAAAAAGGCAGAAAGAGTACTGAGGTGTATTGTGTGTCTCAGTATTCTACGGATTGAGCGGCTGTGCGATCCAAACAATGCAGTATGTGAGGATGTTCGACGATACTGTTTATATTCATATGATCCTAGGGATTGCCAAGGATATCATCGCCAAGTAATGACTCGCTTGTTGGATAAATTAAGCACTCAAGGGAGAAGCCAAGCAGTGTAGTTCAAGCGGACGGGGGATTCTTCAAACAGGATGACTTCATTAAAGGCTTTGGACAGGTGCCAGAGTTTGGTAAGTCCATGGTGTAGCAGATGGTCTGATTTTACTCGGATGTCATCAGGAATCTCAAAGGGGAGAATACTAAGGGGAAGGTTATTAAGAGGAAGGACCATCGTTCTGACTTAATGATGACTAGAGTTGATCCGGGCTTGTGACGCGGTACCAGAACTCGTTCTTCTACCCTTCAACCTGCGTCTAAGTCCTCGAAAACCCTCACACCCTAGTTTTGCTGTCCTTTGCGATTCGGGAAGTCCTGGTACTCAAGTGATAAGCTGGAACTTATCGTATTGCGTGGCCCAATAATTGGGAGAAAGGAGGGAATGGTGACGTTTGGAGAGCAGAAGACTTGTCACAGCTGAAGTGTGGGCATTACATTGCTGCTATTTATTCATGGTATGTTATGTTTACAACTCAGTGTATATTTTACGCCGGTTCATGTCTTATGGTGGTCGGAGTTATTCAACCTTGGTCCTGGGGATTCAGGGGCGGAAGACTAAAGCAATTGCAAAAGTACTAAATGTGGTAACTATTTGATTGGCTGGTATGGTATCCTATTTTATGGAAATACAAATAATCCCTCCGCATTAAGCATGTCAGATGCATCCGGACAAACGGAATCTCTCTATTGAGGAATTTCCAAGACGTATCTCCCGGCGATCTTTCCTTGCTCTGTATCAAGTTAGCACACGGATCGCAAAAGCGAGTGGGAGGAAGAAACTTACCCATCAGCTCAAAAACCTGCGGTAACTCCTTGAGCGGCACAGTCTTGAATGGAGCCTTGATCAATCCCCGTGCAAAGAAGTCAATCGCCTCCACTCCATCCTGCCTATTCCCGACATAACTTCCCTTGATATTGATCATCCGCACCACTGTATTGAACACAGGAGCCTTGAGATACGCATCCGCCGGTAACCCAATGGCAACGATCGTACCCCGCGAACGAACATATCCCGTCGCCTGCTCGAACGGCTTCGCAGCAGCCGCAAGCAAAAGAACAGCATGCACACCAAGTCCATCGGGAGAAACAGCCCTGACATCCTCGATCAGATCACTGGACTTGGTAAAGTCTACAAATGCCTCTGCACCAAGCTGTTCGCACATGATTTTCTTTTCATCCCCACCGTCAATAGCCACAATACGAAGACCCATAGCCCTCGCATACTGCTGTGCCAAGGAGCCCAGACCACCACCCGCACCAACAATCGCAACAGTCTGGCCGGGTCTGGCCCCGGACTCCTTCAATCCTTTGTAAACTGTAACACCAGCACACAGCACTGGCGCTGCAGCATCCAAGGGCACATGCTTGGGGAGCTTAGTAACATGCGCCGCATTCGCAACACAGTACTGCTGGAACGTCCCGTCGACAGTAAATCCCGACAACGACGCATCAGGACAAACCGACTCATCCGCGGACTTGCAGAACTCGCACGACAGACATGATCCATTCAGCCACTTAACACCAGCGTGGTCGCCGACGTCAATGACATTGACGAGTTCACCTTTGGCAACGACAACGCCTGCACCTTCGTGACCGCCGACAAGCGGCATCTTGGATGAAAGGGGCCAGTCGCCTTTCATGGCGTGCAGGTCTGTGTGGCAGACGCCTGTGTAGTGGATTTTGACGAGTACTTCATCGGGACCAGGCTTGGGGACGGGGATTTGCTTGTAAACTGGATGGGTGCCGGTTTTTTCGATCACTTGAGCCCATTGGGTTTCCGGGATAGACATGATGAAACCGGTTTTCGCAGAGGATAAAAGAAAATGTGAATGAGAAGCTGGTTGATAGCGATGAAGCTGAGCCAACGCCCCGAGCAATCGACCTTTTTATACCCATCCCAAACCTAACCCCCTCGAACCCCGATCCCGATCTCTGACGCCCAGAGACAAACCCAGAACCAAGCGTGACGTACCGTCCGGACTAACGGAGACCCAGCCATGCTTTATACCAAATCCCACGTATTGTTGCAACTGAGGAGATATCGCGCATCCTAGATGGGTAAGTGAGGCGTTGACGTTAGCCTTTTTCCCAATACGGACATGGGTCGGGAGATCGGCTGATCCCCGCAATTTGAACCCCGCATTGTTATTTTACTGCCTTGCTTGACGTCTAAGAGAGAAGAGCTATCAATTATACCTGTAGACTGGTAGCAACGGTAGTGCATAGTTAGCAAGGTGTTCCTGGCTTAGGAGAGACAAGCAAACGCTCAGTCTCTAGTTACGAACATGTACATATCACTCGCCCCATTGCCCAATCGGGACGCCGAAACGCACACGGAACTACTCCGGACATTCCCCGACTTTGCGGAGAACCTGTCGACCCAAAATACACATCCTGACGTCCGGTCACAGTAAGTAAGTACGAAAAACAGACGGAGGGAAACGCCGCGTAAGACCGAAATGATAATGTCAACGTGCTGTCCACCTCGTATAAGCAAGGTTTTGAGGTGCTTATATGAGCCGCAGTTTGTATATAAGTTGTTGAAACTATTGAGGAGGTTTGACTTTACACAGAGATAGGGTTGAAATAAGTGTTTATCGGAGATTCGGGTGATCAACAGGTGTTCGAGCACCTTGGGGGAATCGGTCGCGAGCGTGCTCTGGCGGCTCCTATTGAACACAAAGGTCGAGCTCACGTTTTCCTCAAGTAATTAAAAGCTACAAGCAGGTGTCTCTTCTATATTGCTCATTGTTGAGAGGGTTTATATTGGAGCTCGGAATCCGAGGATTTATTTTCGACTCCTGGCCCAGACTGAACATGGGAGTATTATCTGGCAAGTACAATAAGTAATATTCATAGCGATAGTTATTGTTGTTTAAACAAACACACTCGATTGTCACTATTCAATAACACCAGCATCCAACTGAGCTCGCCCAGGGGCCATATGGCCTCCTATCCCTTCATCTTATCGCCGGAGCCAAGTTCTCTCTGCATCATGATCTGTGCTTGCACTTCAGGGCTGAGGATAGGGTAATATTCGTCTTCATCACTATCTTTTCAAAGGAAGAAAGAAATCGACTAGGTCTCCAATACACGGGTACCCTTTCCAAACTAAATCCATCCACTAACAACAAAGCCAGATGCCCGCACTAGCAAGCATCGTCAGCTCAGCTAATTGTTTGGGATGGATTTATCGAGAGTTGGAGCCTTCTTTCTGTAAGGGACAACAAAAAAAAAAAAAAAAAAAAAAAAACCAGTAACACTGGCACAAAGGAATAGGTACAAAGGGAATTTTAGATTGATGTTGGAGCCCCAGGTTCCGATATGTCCCGCTCTGATTGGCCCGTTCTAGCGAGCCCACACAGAGCCATCCTCTGCCTATCTACATACAAATACAGCAGTATCGATGCTCCTTCTGGCCATAGCTTGACTCAAAATTACAAATATAAAGCGAGGCTAGGAAGCTGCTCCCTAACTAAGAGGTTCCATGTGCTATACTGTCTCCACTAATACATGTCGAACTCGTCCTTCGGCCCCTGGACGGAATGAAACAGAAGCAAAAACATATGACCAGACTGGGGCTCGATCCCAGGACCTTATCGGAACCAGTTGTGGAACTGTTAACGATACGTGATAACCAACTACACCATCCGGCCAATTGCTGATACGGGTTGCTCAAAACTAAAACCTTGAATTTGACCGTATAGTCTAGAGTACGCACCAGTGCTCTACCTTACCATATCCAGCTCATATCCGGGAGGCCTTCCATAGCGGAGCCCGAGACCTTTGCCATGGAGTATCATTATCTGGCCTATTATTAAATATATGCGGTCGTTGCTATTCAACCCTAACAATACTCAGGAAAAAGCCCTTGATCGAGGAGGTTTTCTTTTCTTGGGGTCTTCGGTCATCTCTGCCACCACCAGAATCCCCAAGTCGATTATCCTATAGTGCTGTTCACAGCACTAGCAGAAGTGGCCGAAAACAATCCGTATCTACGTTTTAATGAAATCATCGTCTATGGAGTCCCATCAGGCAGTCTTGTCCATTGGAAGCTGAATCTCCGTATTTGCCGATTTCAGTTACTTTGACTCCGTCAGATGCAGTAGACTGGGATATTAAAGTTAGCAAGCGTCTCCGAAATTCGTTCATTCTGAAGACATATCCCCCAAAATAATTCGTAAAGCTCGACTCCAATGTTCACTCCGCAGATCTGTAAAGAAGATCCGCTCTCTCGGAGTTTTGCATGAGGACCTTCGACCGGATAATATTCTATGGAACGCTGAGCTGCGACGGGTGCTGATTATTGGTTTTCATTGGGCTAAATTGGATCATCGACTGGAGAGAAAGCGGATGCCTTCATGCGGGGCCGAGACGCGGCCGCTAAAACGACTTCATAGCAGTATACCCTAACGCCGTAAGCAATCACCAGTCACACCCCTCAACTTCATCTTCCAACCATAGCAAAACCCGACTACTTCCCCTCATAGTCCTCATCCACCCTGTCGATCGCCAACTCCGCATGCTCCCTGACAAATCCGGATACCCCTCCCCCCATCCGCAACCTTCCCATCAACCCTCACAAACGCCAACCTTCCCGAAACACTAACCCTCGAAATCCGCCACTCACCATCAACCGAGCCCACCTGCCCGTCCTCAATCCAGTTCCCGCTCTGCGGGATGGGGGAGGGGGTATTGCAAAGTCGAGGTTTAGCGGGGTATAGGATGTTGAGATGGGAAGGATTGGACGGGAGAGGAAGGGGATGGAGATGAAGGGGTTTTCTGGATTGGAGGGGATGGAGATGGAGATTTTGGTGTAAGGGGGGTTTTGGGTTGTTGGGGAGGAGTGAAAGGTGAGATTTGCGAGCTGATACTGTAAGAATAATGTATTCGGTTGTTGGTTTGGAGGACATACCTGTTTCGGAATATTCCAATTCTCCGTTCTAAGTAAACACCATCAGCTCATCATCATCTCAACCCCCAAAAATCAAACTAACCATTCAAAACCGACTCCACCCTCGAAACATAAATCCCCGCAATCCTAGCATGTTTCCTCCTCGTCCCCGGAACCTCGAAGTACCCCGGCATCCAAATAACCTCATCATATGGCCCGACAGATGTATCCTTGTACCGCACAATCATACACACTCCCGGCCCACCTGCATATTTCCCGCTCTTCTCCGGATCCGCGAAGTTGGAGTTTGCTTCTAAGGGGGCTGTAGGTTCCTGCTGGGGGCCCGTTTGCGGCGGACATCCAGGCGACGGACCAGAAGACGTCGGCTTTCATGTTGTGCCAAGGGGAGGGGGCGGGGGTAAAGGGGCCATGGTCGTTGTCTTTTTTGGGGACATTTTGCTAAGAATGTCTCGTTTAGTTTGTTGTAGTGGTGGTGTACGATGTAGAAAAGATGGTCGATTTTGTGTTGTTGGTGAACGTGACTGTCCCAAGTTCTACATTCTCGTATTAAGGCAGTGTTGGTCAGCTATGATTAGTTGATCTATACGATTATAGATACTATAGCGCACTAAGTACAGCACCAACACACCCCTGTACATCCTCTAGTAAATGCCAATGACCAACATCTTTAAGCACGTCAACCCTCCCATCGTCAACTTGCCCCACATACCTTTCACAGACCTCCACCGATCCAACCTTATCCTCCTCCCCAGTAATAATAATAACCGAACACTTGATTTTGCTAAAGTCCAATGTCTCTTTGGCAGACGCAGCAAGTGCCATACACCCCTTCGCATACCCCTCCACATCCTGTCCAAGCAGTGACAGCCGCACAGCCGTGACTGTTAGGGGGTTATTCGCGCGGACCTGTGCAGATAGACCAGCTTGGATAATGGCGTCCACGACAGATATCATGCCTTTCTCGCGGACTAGGCTCGCGCGGGCGTAAGTTGCTTGACTTGCGGGTTCGGGGAGCGGAGATGGTGGGGGTCCTAGGAGGATGAGTTTGGAGACTTGTTCTGGGCGGTGGAGGGCGAGGTGTGCGGCGATGAGGCAGCCCATTGAGTGTGCAACAAGTGTGACAGGAGTGTTGATCGATGCAAACTGCAGCGTCTGGTGAATGTCTTCAGCGTATGAGGCGATGGTAAGTTCGTTCAATGCTGATGTCGGAGAAAGACCGTGCCCTTCGAGGTCCAGAAGATGCAGGGAATGCGATTGTTCGAGTTTTGAAATCAATGGAGTGTAATATGTCGATGATGCTCCAAGTCCGTGAATAAAGATCACAGGTGGACCATCCTTGTGGCCAACGTGCTGGTAAAAGAGATCTTTTCCGTTGATCCTGTGCAATCCCGACCCTGCGGGAGCCTTCGCATTCGACACCGGAATGATACTTTGATCATTCTTCACACTCTCGGTTGTATAATTGACAGTATCGAGACTAGCAATTGAATTCTTCAACATCCCCAATCCTGAAACACTAATACAAACCTCATCCCCAGGTTGCAAGAACTTCATCGGCCGGAACCCAAACCCAACACCATATGGCGTTCCCGTCGCCAGCACGTCTCCCGCTTGAAGTGTCTGTCCGGCGCTGATACTCGCGACAAGAGTCGGGATACTGAAAATCAACTCCTTGATCGACGCCTCCTGTCTCTTCTCCCCGTTCACGTGTGTCTGCACGATCAAGTCCTCTGGTAGCGCTTCTTTGGGCACCGCAATTGGACCCATGGGACAGAATGTATCTGGCGATTTACCCAGGAAGAATTGCTTATGGTCGCGCTGGCGTTCACGCGCTGTCATATCATTGATAATTGTATAGCCCCAGATATGCTCCATGGCTTGTTCTTCAGAGATTCGAAAGCCGGGTTTGCCGATAATGACGCCAATCTCTCCCTCATAGTCGGGTGTGCTGGTGAACTCCGGGTGCAAAAGAATTGGGTCCTCATGGCCAATGATTGAAGTGGCGCGTTTAGTGAAGATGACGGGGTGAGTCGGTTGGTCATTCTTGTCGCTGGCATCGAAGCCAGAACTGTTGAATTCACGCGCATGCTCTGAGTAGTTCTTTCCCACGGCCAGGATGTCGCGGCCGGAGATTGGAGGGAGAAGTTTGACGCTGGAAAGTGGGCGAATGTCTTGTCCTGGGTATGTCGCGATGTTGGCTTCGCCCGCGGCAATCACTTGGTAGAGGTCTGTGACGGAAGTCCCAGACCGAAAAGAGAGGGGCGTGATCGTAGATGTCGCAAGGTCCAAATGTCCTATCCGGGATGCTTTGGTGATTGGGTCGATATAGGCCGCGTAGTTGGTAAGTGCGTTCGCCATGGTGAAGTTTCTGGGCAATTGGCCTTGAGCAATTGATCAATTGAACGATTAGGTCGACATATATATAGCTGTTGAGGCCTGGATATTCAATTGCACCATTTTGCCGTTTTCTCGTCACAACGGTTCCCGCATCACTTGTTCTCAGTCGGCGCGTCCGTCCCACTATAGCGGGGATAGCGGAGATGTCCCTCATCTCCGCGCATCTCCGCAAAGCCAGGATGACAGATTCAACACAAGAGCACTGTCTGAAGAACGTGGTCCTCATGTAAGCAAATTCCAGAGTATGCCGTGCTACCAGCCGTTAGAAACGTCAATCCGTTCCACCTTATCTCCGTAGGACCCCCGCACAAAGTATGACGCGCCCAGGTTCTGTACTCCACGCCAAATCTCGCACTGACGCCGGTTTCCTCCATAGATTGCGCATTTCTCCAACTGGACTACAGACTCGGTGGAAGGACACTGTTGAAATGTTGTTGTACTGGTTCGCGGAGAAGTAGGACCGGGTATTCCGTGATCTCGCTTCGACGATAAGTTGAGTAACGGAGCGTGGGCTTGAGCTATGAGATCTCAGCGAGGTGTTTTATGAGCCTGATCAGGGCATTCCATTTGGATCTCGCGTACGGAGCACTGATTCATTCATCAGTTAGCACTTAGCCATAGCTATTGGAACAAGTTTTGACACGTACCTGTTCATCACCGTAGCCAATATAAATCCTACCCGCGTCCCACTTCATCCGCTGCCATATTGCCGTAGTTCATAAAGATAGACCATGGAAAGCGTGATTCAGATGGTAAACTTGATGCTGCAGCTCTCGAAGGAACCGCCGTGCTGTCGAGCCACGCCGATCAAAACTGCGGCGGTGCATGCCTTCAGCCTTATGCATTACTCGTCAGCATATTTTTATGCGCATACGTATGCTGAAATCTTGCCAAACCCGCGAACAAACACGACTTATCAATCGCACAATCGCATCCGGAATCGCTTCGATTCATCCAGCTAACAATTGACCAGCAATGCGTATTCCCAAATCCGAGTCAGATTCGTGTCAGGCCACGCCGAAGAACATTAACAAATCAAAACACCTCCGTACCAAAAAGCAAACTTTTAGTCCCTTAATATAATCTGACGATTGGAGCCACGGTCAAAGTAAAACAAGTGGATTCGCTCGTGGAGACATCTGTCCTCCGTACATTCCGGAACCATTGATTAACAGCTCCGGAGGCAGTCATGGCGAAATATGGGATGGAACAATTGATGTAACGATGCATATTGTGCTACTTTCTTGTCATGGATATCCATCCCTGCACACAGAGTGCCGTACTCATACTTGTACATACTCGTACGGCCAACTATCGAACTCTGCTCGCAGGACATGACATGTCAAGAAGCGGTCATGCCTGGTGCCCGCTGCCCAGTGTCTCGGAATCGACTGAAATAGTACTCCGTAAAGTAAGCGGTATATGCGTGGCGGTGAGTTGTTGGTGCATTCCCGTCATCGGGATATTCTGTGTTAATCTTCTTTGTTCGATGTGTTCATATGTCTGAGTTATGCAAACCAAGGTTATAGATCAGAAACATGGCCAGTCAGCGGTATGCTATATTTAGCTGTCTCTGCTAATACTTATAGAAGCTCTTCACCTCACCCATCTCATACCATCTATCCTCGAATAAATCTCTTCATACTTTGATACCCTACTACAAAACAAACAAACAAACAAAATGTCGTCCACCACCACGTCCGTCTCCTCGACATCAACCGCCTGCGCCGGCAACGGCTGGATCCTCCCAACCCAAGACTCCGCCTGCGGCCTCATAAACCACAACAACGCATCCTCCATAATGGACAAATGCTGCACGCCCGCCTCCGTCGAGAAAACAGACGGCGACTGCAGCCTCTACTGTCTCGCGCAGGAACAATCCGTTGGCGACCTCACGAATTGTCTTACGGATAACGGGGCGGGCTTTGGGGATGTGTTTTGCAATGATAAGCAGAATGCGACTGCGACGGCTAGTGTGACGAGTACCGCCACTAGCACTTCTACTTCGAGCGGGAGCTCGGGGACGAGTACTGAGAGTGGGATGGCGACGAGAGGGGGTGTTTCGAAATCGGGGATGGGGATCCTCGGTGTTGTTTTGGGATCTGTTATTCTTGGGGCTTTCTAGGTTTGAGACCTGTTTGCGTTTGAAGCTAAGGGAAAGAAAGGTTGGATATATGTCAATACTAGTACATAATCATAATACGAATCATGACTACTTTTTACCCACGTTCACAGCATGCACCCGTTCCTGTTCCTCTTCCTCCTCTTGTTCGATCTCCAATTCCCTCGCAACAAGCATCCTCAACCCAGCCTCCTCAGTCTTCAAATACGTCTTCCACCCCTTAACTCCCCAGAACGCTCCCGCGATAACCAACATCACCCCAAACACCGCAATCGCCCAGTTCATCTCCGCGACATTGGGCTTAGGTGTGCCAGGGAAAAAGAAAAACACAGTCGTCACACAACAATACGCCAAACTGACATAGTTCAGAGTACTACCCCAGCGTCCGAGGTGGAATTTGCATCCGGTGGGGAGATTCTCGCGGCCGGTTATGAAGAGCAACACGGCGATAGGTATACCGTAGGAGATTGTTAGCGCAATTGTGCTGACGCTGAGAATTGCTTCGAGAACGGTGTCGGCGAAGAGATAGAGCACGCCGACCAGGGCAATGATGATGCCTTGCGCCCAGATGGCGCGCACGGGTGCTTTCCAGACCGGGTGGATGTGTGAGAGATATGCGCTGAATGGTAATCCGCCGTCGCGCGCGAAACCCCATGTCAGACGAGAGGATGTGGTGAGGATGCTGACGCCCTGTCCTAAGCCATTGAAGATGAAGAGCACCAAGAGCGTGGTGGCAGCGTCGCGGCCAACGGTCTCGTTCATGAGCGTGACAAACGGCAACGACGCATTGACGACGCTGTCCACATCCTGGATGCAGAATAGACACACGACCATGAAAATAAACCCCGTCGCCGCACCAGACCCTACAGCGAGATAAATAATCCTGGGCGCATTCGTCCTCGGCGACGGAATCTCCTCAACCATATGAATCACCGAGTCGAACGCCGTAAGCCCATAAGCAGCCTGCACAAGACCAGTAAACCACACAACCCCATCACTCCACCCAGTCGCATTAATCCACGCCCCGAACACAAACGTCCCGGACTGAAACCCCCGGCTATCCCTCACACCAACCCCGATCAACATCGCCAGCGAAAGTATCCCAAACAACGCGATAAACCACGCCCCGACGAAATTATTCAACCACGGCAGTATCCGATCCCGTCGACATCCAACCGCATTAACAACCGTCAAGCAGAACGTAAACACCACATACAGCACAAACTTTAACCAACCCGCACTCTCCGCCTGTCCAAACAGGCCCCTCAACCCCAGCGTGAAATCAGTCATGAACGCAACCATACTCGCCCCCAGCGTCCACCACCCAAACACATTAATCCACGCACACATGTAACTCACCACCCTCCCAGTTTTTGTTCCCCACATCCGATGGACCCAATACGCCTGTCCCAGCGCCGTGGGCATGGAACTCGTCAATTCACCCAGCGACAACGCGACGGCGAGATTGCACGCTGTAACGAGGACTAGACCCCAGAGGATCGTGATCGGGCCGCCGTTTGTGAGGCCCGAGGAAAGGTCTTGGGCGAAGGTGGAGTAGGTGCCGAGGACAGAGAAGGCAAGGGAGAGCATGCTCCAGGGGGTAAATTTGAGTGTTAATCCTTGGCTCTGGGCGGCATCATTTTGCTCGGGGATGGGTTTGGTTGGTGCATCGCCGGATGGGCCCGGGGGAAAGGCGTTGGAGGCATTATGGGTCTGGTTTTCGGGGTCCATATGTGGTCAATTGGGTATTGTATGTGCTGTATAATGGCATGATTTATGCTGTGTGGTCTGATTGATATATGTATGACACCCTGGAGACGAAAACAGCGGTTGGTGTATTACAGATTGCGGGGTTCGGGAGGACTTGTCTTGATTATCCAGATAAGATTCAGATCCTGGGTCCTTATTGGATGACTGACATGTGAAGAAGATATCAAATAGGCAGTTCCATGCGAATTGATACGGGGGAGTTCCTATCTTGTTTATCAATGTCATGTCTGCCTGATATGCACGGCTGTCTTGATAGGAATATTATTCAAAGAGGAAACTGTACCAGATTCACTGTACTAGGGATATGGTGTACTATACTAAGAATGCTAATGATAGTCGGTGGTAATGTACAATTAAGCCGACAGAGCCAAATCCTTCAACTTGCCGAAATCCGGCGTTCCAAGGCCAGTGACTGGATCCCAGCCTTGCGTAGCATTCCAGCTAGCGTACGGCACGACGGGGCTTCCATTGGCCTTTCCTGCAAACCGCTCCTGTCCATCGCATCCTGTACTGCCACCGTGCACGACGTCGTTCAGGCCCTTGCTCCCAGCGCCATACAACCAGGGGTTCAAGAAGCCCAGGACGGGCTTGTTGTTCTGGAGACGGACGTCGTTGAGCAAGGCGATGATACCGCTAAACGCGGGAGCAGAGCAAGAAGTACCATCGAACTGGCCTAGACGGCCCTTGTCGTACACAGCAAAGTTGGTACCCTGCGCCGAGACGTCAGGGAATGCACGGTTGGAACCGTTGTACAAGCCCTGGTACCGGGATCCGAGGGTCTGAAGGTAGCTGCTGACAGCAGCGTCCTGGTACTTTGGGCGCGGGAAGAGGTCAGAGAAGCCGCCCGAGGAGAAATATGTCGCTTGCTCGGGGGCCATCTTCTCAGTGGCCCCGACCGATGTCACCCAGGGGCAGGACGCCGGGAACTGCGGGGGGAAGTGGGTGCGGTTTGTACCGTCGTTGGTCATACAGGCAGAGCCGACGCCGGAGTCGCCCGACGAGAAAATCACCGACACACCGCGGCTGCCCAGCTGCGCGTACATGTTGCAAACGGTGCGGGCGTACTTTTCGGGGATGGTCTGTTCGTTCTCACCGTAGGAAGTAGAGATCACCTGCGGCAGGTGCTCCTGGTCCATGTGTAGCACGTTCTGCAGGAACTCGAGGTACGGCTCGTTGGTACCGGCGCTGGGGTCGGGCTGGTCCAGGTCCGGGATGACGGGTGCGCGACCGGCGGTGCTGAACTCGGTCACGGGCGCGCCCGCGCTCATTCCCACGATGTACTGCAGATCGAGGTTGGCCTCGCCGCTGTCGCTCTTGGAGTTCTGGTCATTCTTGCCGCCGTTGTACATGACGACAGTAAAGTTCTCACCCTCCGCAAACGGTGCCAGGTTCTCCTCGAACAGTACCAGATCAGAGTACCGCGCGTATTCCTCCAGGAAACTAGCAAAACCGATCTTGCTACCACTAGCGGGATCGGCCTTGTAGCCATTGACATTGTACAGCTTCCGCAGACAGTGTGGGGTGGTGATCTGGTCACAAATGCTATCATCATCCGCCGTAGCTGCCTGCGAGATAGCCAACTCGTCAAGCCCACCCTTGGGCTTGCTGCTATGCGTAGCCCGGTTGGCACGGATCTGTCCGAATCGCGTGGTTGGCTGGATCACGTTGACCTGCGGCGCAATAGAGTCTGGGATCGAGTACTCGAGAGTGCGGAGACGCGCCGTGTTACGATGGCTCTTGTGCGCGTACCAGAGGAAGTTGGCGTCGAGGAGGTCGTTGGCCTGGTCCACGGTGGTGTGGAAACGGACCCAATCGGCGTCTTCTTCGATGTCGCTGATTCCGGCGTCTTGCAGCCATTCGCGGACGGCGTGAACGGCATTTTCATTGGGGAGAAGCATGCGCTTCATCTCATCGTGGGTGCGGAAGTGTTTTCCGTAGTTGGGATGGTCGGGAGTCGACATCTCCAAGAGGGACTGTTCGAAACCGGTGACATCGTGCTGCTGCAGAGCGATCTGAAGACGAATGGGTTGTTTGGGGTTAGGAGTGGAGGCATATCTCCAACCTATTCAATCACATTAGCATTATACTGCAATTGCTGGGTTTGAAATACTTCGTACCTTCGGGCACAACATGCAGCTTCTCGAAGACCTCGGCGGCGACAGACGAGGTCAACAGCGAAACGAGAGCGAGGGAGAGAGCTCCCCGACGAACAAATGACAACATCTCTGGTGAAGCGACTATCCTCACCAAGAGAAATTAGGGAAAGAAAGTGAAAAAAAAAAAAAAAAAAAAAAAAAAAAAAAAGAGCGACAAGAGTTAGTTAAGCTAGTTAAGGAGTGTGTGTTGAAGAGAGGAGAGGAGAGATAACGGAAAGAGACTAAGAGCTCTAGTCAGCGGGGGCAGTGTGGACAATCACTGATCGCGTCTGGGGCATCGGAGGACACCGGCGATCTTATTATTTTCTATGCTATAATGCTATGTTCTACGGGATATTCCTTAATAGTACGGAGCAGAGCAAATGTCTGTGCATATCATGAAGAATGCACGCCGGATACCTCGAACGCGAGGGACGATCGTCAGGGGTTGGCAGCAGAGTCGGTACGGAGCACTATTATGTAGCAAATTCAGCTTCAAACAGCATAGAACCAGAATTATTGACACGTTCTTGAGACAGAAGCAATTGCTGAATATTCAGTCACATTCCATAATCCGATTGCTATTGTAGTACTGCTGACCCCTCTGTTGGGGTGCGGAGTCCTCCGTCCTCCGTAGTCCGTACTCGACATACCTGGCATTCTGATCTGTACTCCTTGTCACCAATTATTGCAATAATCGGGTCTCGGCATAAGACAAGTACGAATACGCGAGCTGGGCATTTCTTGGATTACTTGATATTATACAGAGTTCTTTATACAGAGTATTATCTTCGCTATAAATATCGAGACCCTTGATACAAGACTTATTACGGGTATCGGCCAAGACTGTATGCACTCCTTTCAGTGATACCAACAAGTATACCAGGATAATCCGTACTTATCTCGCCACCCTGGACAGGTTGGGCACCAATGCCGAAAGATACTCAGTCGACGGCATCAATAAACACCCTTCCCTATTTGGCCAAAAAATCACGTGTGTACCACTTCCAAACAAGATAAGCTCAGGAACCAACCCTGTTTCAAATGTGGTCCATGGAAGCCTTCATGTCGGTTCCGAAGGGTTTTAGAAGCACAGGCTAGGCTATGATAAAATTTCCGTAGAAATTGGAACGGTTGTATCGCTGGTACCTGCATTGGCTGTGGGTATAAGCTTGGACCAGTTAATCTCGTTAAGGACTGGACTAAAATTGGAGGTACGTCGGGTAAATTCCGGAATCTTGGATTCGGCCGGTTAGGGGCTTGGGTTATGGTGCAAAATATGACGATAGGAGAGTCATATGTCTACTGAGTACAGGGGACCAGGAGAGCTGTATAGCGATGAGGTGACGATTGTGTGATTAACTAGAGTAATAACTTTTGACCCGAGGGGAGAGTATTATTATACACGTAGCGTCGTAAGAATATAAACAATCATAGGGGAGAACAAGTTAGCGATAACTTGTCTCCCGTTTAGGAGCACCCCGCCATATCCCTGCGGGCACAAGATTCTGCTTAGCGATAGCCAGCTCCTTTTGTAAATATCGATTCTCCTCCTGCAATCCGTGCATGTAGGCAATCGCGTTGCTGAGGATTTCAGATTTCTTAAGCGATGCGGAGCCTCCACTCCTTGACGATTTCTGCACGCCGTTGCCGCCGTTCATTGCTTTCTCGAGAGACACAAACTTGGCGTTCATATTTGTTCTGTAACGTTTTTCAATGACGTTGTGTGCGGCTCGTTTGGCGGCGTTGCGGACGGGGCCGTCAGCGGATGATCGTCTGCGAGTAGATCGTGCTGGTGGCGAGGAGGGTTGTTCTTGAGGCGAGGTGGCGTCGGGGGTAGTAGAGTAACAAGCGGTTTCTTGATGGTATTGCTCGGTCGAGGTAACGGGAGAGAGCTCAGGAAAGGCTGCATGGGCAGAAGGGGACCATGGGTGGTCGTCACTCTCGGGGTCCTATACACATTAGCTTGTGCTCAAAGCGACTTTATCAATATGCAGAAAGGAACATACAGATACCGAGGCAGCATCCTCGCCCATATGGTTGCCAATAGCAAAACCACTAATGTCCGACGGAGCGACCATGCTAGCAGACATATCCTTAGGCTCGAAGTTCATGAGATCGTCGGGCAGGTCAAATGTAAAAGGATCGGACATCATAGGATTCCAAGAGAAGAGATCAATGGCACTATCATAAGTCCAATTGTCGGTCAAAGGATCAGGACCCTTGATAGCGTTTGAACTAGGCTGGTAGAAGGACATGACAAATAGAGAGGAGGAGAGTAGAGTAGATGTGAGGTAGATGCAAATGTAAGCAATGCAAATCTTTCGGTGTTTAATGGCCAGATAAAGACGGTCAAAGAAGAGCGAGCAAAGGCCGGTCTATATATAAAAGGAGAACCCTCTCGCGAAAGACCAGCCGAAACCTGTCCTGTCCGACATGATGCTGGTGATGATGACGCTGCGTCTGCTGCTTTACGAGCTTCGTAGCTGCCGGTGAAGGAGAGCCGAAATCACCCCAGCCGGAAGGACAGCATCCAGAGCGTTTATGGATCGGGCGGCTCCGAAGAGCCTTTCAAGTGGCAGCGTCAGCGTATAGAGTAGAGTACTCCGTATACTACTATAGTACAGTGACACCCTCCGGCCGAGTCTCGGAGCCGACACTCTCAAGCGACCCGGAGTAATTCATTCCCGGTGGTATATCCAATCACAGCCTGCGCTGACACAGCACTGTCAGATCTGGTATCCGCGCCTAACGCAGCGCCGTTAAGCATCCCCGGCCAATGGGAGAATTTGTCGCGTTCGGCGGGCTCTTCCGTGCTATGCAATACCCATTCTGTCATTGGTTGATTCAGTGGTGTGACACCGGATCCTAACGGTCGATCGTCCCGTGACCTGTCGCGGCACGTGCTATGTCCTACCTAAATCTCCCGAATCGGGCGAGTTACTGCTACGGACGAGAATTATCGGGCGATATACATGGTGCAGCAAAAGTACAGAGTACTCTAGAGACCTTGGTACGCAGCGTCTACAGCGGGCCACCGATCACTACTAGAATATTCAGAGAACCCTGGCCGTTGTACATGCCCCTGCATCGTGTCGCATCGGATCCTGGCACGAAGCAGGAGAATGGTTTCCAGGGCAAGGGCCAAGATTGTATTCCGGACGGGATTTCAACAACGGTTCAAGTACCGAGTGTAGGAATCCGATTTCCTGTCCTTGCATGCAGATGATGGTCATACTACTGCGGGAGTTACCGGACTACATCGTAGAACTTATGCTAATTATGCTGGGATAATTTATATTCGTTATGATTATGACTAAGCTGCGTGCCATCGAGAGTAGGGTATCAAAGCTAGTACTTAGTTATACGTTTCTACTGCCGTTTCTCGACCATACGTAATTGCTCAAGATGATAGACTTACATGTGTCCAATTTGCCTAAGGAGCCCTGCTCAATATTCAGCAATGTGCCACTCAAGTTGTGTTTACAGTGTATTCACTCAAGCCCTGACAATGACTGAAAGGCACCAAAGCAGCTGTATTCACTGTGTGAACAGCAAGATGGCTTTACTCACTCCCTTCCACCTCTTTTCTTTCTCCTTTCATTCATCAACTGGATCGCACAAGCACAATGACAGAAACCCATAATCTGGAGACTCCCATGGAGCTTGTGCAGTATCTCTACGCCAGACTCGCCCAGCTGGGAATCGGCACCGTCTATGGCAGTCTCTTCGAATATAATAACTCAATCGTGGCAGCTGCTAGCAAGGCAGGTCTCAAGTACGCCAGAAGCTTCAACGAAGTGCAAGCTGGTGAGTTCTTGGCAGATTCAATTTCGAACAGATACTGAGAAATATACATAGTGTTCGCAGCAGACGCCTATGCTCGCGTCAAAGGCATCTCAGCGCTCGTAACCACGCATGGCTCCCTTGAAACTATAACCAACGATATCCTCTTCGAAGCACACGCAGACAACATCCCCGTCGTGCACATAGTTGGTTATCCATCAGCGAAGCAGGACGAGAATCGAGAGATTATTCGACGGTTGCTGCGACAGGGGCAGATTGGCTCGATTGATCAGGCTCTCGCTTACAGCAGTGTGGTGGTGCTGGGAATCTTCGATCACATTGCTTACGCTCCCAGACGAATTGACGATGCGCTGAGTGATTGTTTGATCAGCTCTCGCCCTGTTTATATTGGGCTTCCAATGGCGTACGCGAAATGCTTGGTCGAGGGAAAGTTGCTTCAGAGACCTGTGCTTAGGGCCGCGCCGCGAAATGATCCGAAAAAGGAGGAACATGTCGCAGAGGTTATATTGCGCTATCTGGTCTCTGCAAAAGATCCGGTGATTATTGTTGATGGTGGTGTTATCAGACAGGCTATCCAGTCGCAGGTGCAGGAGTTTGTCAAGAGAACCAAATTGCCCACCTTCGTCACGATTGAGGGCAGAAATGCCATTGACCCCTCATTGCCAAATCACGGTGGTTTGTATGCTGGATTACAGTCCGCTCCAGGCATTAAAGAGCGAGTTGATGCTTCCGACCTAGTTATTCAATTTGGAGCCCTCAGGTCCCACGTCAACACCACCCGTCATCTTCACTTCCTCAACTTCCATAACAAGATCGAGATTTACATGGACGAACACCTCGTTGGTCGTACGATAAGCTATGGCCTACGCGCACGGGGTCTGCTCAAATCCATACTTAGCCGTCTGGACGAGGTCGATCTTAATCCCGGCCCGGTCCCACAAAGCAGAAGCATCGGCGATCCGCTACACCGTCTCGAGTTCAATGACACCGACGACGACGAGCCTATTACCAAAGAAGTTCTATGTCTCCGCATGATGAAATGGATGCGCGACGGTGATCTCCTAATCAACCAATTCCCCATCGAAGACGCCCAGAACTATGTCCATCACCCAATCTGGGAACGCAAGGACGTATCCTTCGGGGCGTGCTTGGGAGCCTGCTGTTCTGCGAGCGAACTGGGTTCAACAGGTCGTGTCATAGTATTCATCGACACGGCAGGTTTCCAACATGCCTCACGGGAGCTAGCTACCATTCTGAGCCTGGGATTGTGCCCTGTTGTGTACGTTTTTCAACCACATGAATGAACTACGCTGACGTATCTAGGTTTGTCTGCCGTGAAGAACCGCTGACGGAGGAGTCCGACGAAGACAGTGTCGAAGAACGATTTGCTAGCCTTGCGGATCCGGATTTCTTCGCTCCGGATCTGAGGGCACATGGACCGTATAAAGGGCACTCGATCAGTACTATGCGTCAGTTGGGGGATTTGCTTGCAAACGAGAGCTTTGCGTCTCCGATTTGCATTCAGGTATGTTGCGCCAGTTTGTCTTGGTTCTGATGCTGACTTTGTAGTTGGTCGAGTTGTTTCTACATACGGTTGAGAAAAAGACGACTGATAAACACATTTCCGAAGATTCGACGATTGTGGAGTGTGATACCAGAAGCCATACGGACGAAAACAAGAGAAAAAAAGACGACTTTAGCGAATGCGACAATGTACAATAGGCGATGCGATCGGATAGATGTCTGTGTGATACCCAACATTTAAGTAATACTAATCTGTACACTACACAACACTACACTACTGACCCTTAATAAACTTTGTAATAGTAGTCTCATAATCTTCCGGCTCCCTCTCCAACCACTTCTCCAACACCGCCGTCGTAACGGCCGTCTCCCCCCTTCGAATCCCCTCCCAAGCACTCGCCCACTCAACCGCCAAATCCCTCCCATGATACATATGCCTATCCCCAATTTGCGGTAACGCCGCATAATCCTCCACCGAAATCTCCCGAATTTTCAACGCCTTCCCAGTAACCCGTCCCAACACTTCGACCGTCTCCTTCAAACTCACCTCCCGCGGCCCACTAAGGAGCACCACCCGATTCACATACGGGAAGCCCTCGGGGTTCTTCACATACGAGATGATCATCTTCGCAGTTGCCTCGCCCAGTTCGTCACGCTTCGCCCACGCAACGCCCGGACCGGACCCGTCGTGTGGGATTGTGATCTCGTTGTTTGGCGAGGATGTGGGGTCGGACGGGTCGAACCAGGCTGTGTAAATCGGGAAGGACTCGGAGTATATGCCCTCGCGGATGGCGGTATAGTTAAAGAAGTAGCCTGGGTTGAGGCCTGCGAGGTACTCTTCGGTTGCGAGGTGGGCGCCCATTACATGTGCGACGGAGGTCGTCGCAAGGTCGCCGCCAAAGGCGAGCGAGGAGTAGAAGATTTGTTGGACATTGCTGCGGACTGCGCTGTCTATTGCGCGTTTGTGTGCCTGTCACTGTTAGCAACCACCATTTTATATACGTGGAGAGGAGCAGAGGATACCTCAACGCGATGCTCAATCTCAAACGATGCATACGAAACCAGCATCAACACTCCCACTCCATCAAACACCTTATTCAATGACTCGGGCTCATCATAGTCCGCGTAGCGAATCGTTGCGCCATCGCGGCTAAGATGGGCGAGTTTGTCGGGGTAGCGGGCGATGAGGAGGAGTTCGCTGGCGGGAACGAGGCGGAGGAGGTGGTTTATGATGCTTGCTGCGAGACTGCCAGAGGCGGGGAAGACGCCGATTTTGGGGGTCATTTTGCTTTCCTTTTCTATACTGGGAGGGGATTGAGTGGAGTTGACTGCAGGAAAATTGGAATTAAATTGAATTGAATTGAGAGGTTAAATGTTGGTGATAATGTTGGTGATAATGTTGTGATGTAATCACATATTATTCTATTTTAGATAAACTGATAAGTTATAAAAATGACAATCGGATAAGATTTCCTCTCATGGTCGAGTGGTTAAGGCTTAGTGGTCTAGTCGTATGATTCTCGCTTTGGGTTCCTCTGAATGCGAGAGGTCCCGGGTTCAATTCCCGGCTGAGCCCAACTTTTTTTTTTTTTTTTTCCGGCTGCCTCTTTTTAAAGAATGCCAAACACGTTTGTTTAATATATATAAAGGTCGTTTCAAATATCGACGTTTATTTCGTAGGATTTAATGCTTTTCTCCCACTCCTTTAAAGCATTAGTCAACCACGCTAAGCGCTTCTTGATTTGGAGCGTAGTTTGGAAGGCGATATTCTTTCCCTCATCATTATTTCATTAAATCTATTGATTAGTTATCTATTTACATCAAGTCTTATGTACATTTACTATCCTCCAAAGACAAAATAGTTATCTCCGAAACATCAATCGATTCCTAACTTCTGAGTGTGCAAATCCCACCGGCACAGATGCCGTCCGTTGCATTCTGCTGACAGTTGCATATTCAGGTCCATCTCTCAACAGATCATCATCAAGTCCATGGTACAACACTGGGAGAATAGCCGATTTCCACAGACTCAGTCCGTGCTTCTTGTTTTTCACAACCGTTGATATGAACAAGAATATTGCGGACAAGAGCACGATGGCCGGGAGGGTGATCCACTCCCAGTCAACGGATACATAGACCAGAGAGACGGACATGGTCCCGTGTACAGTTTCAGTGCTGTTTTCGAGCCCGTACTTGGTCAGTGACGCAGCGATGTTCTGCATGATTTCCTTTGCACTAACGACTTGCAGTCTCCTGAGGCTGTCCTCATATACCTCGCCCGACCGTGTCCACATGCCATTACCATAGTAGTTGTACAGCGTTGTGAACCGTATAGAATCATGGATGTCCTCGAAATTGTAAACAAATGAAGGAGAGATGCCGGCCGTTATGTTACCGGCTGTAGACTGGAACACGGCATTGTAGCTGTCACTAACGTTACGGCCATCATCAACAAGCTCTCCCCAACTTGGCGGGGACAGGTGCGTGGCTGGATTGCCACCAGACACAGAAACACTGTAAGTCCGCATACATGGGGATAACACGCATTGGGTAACGTTGCCAATTTTCATGTCCTTTTCCGGGTGCGATGGCGTGGTAAGAGGGTAATCGTGCATCTCAGCATGCGCGAGCACGATCAGCGGGTTTTCGACACCGGCATACACCCCAGGCGGCTTTATACCAACCGTCCAAACCATATCCGTGGGCATTTCCAGCATGGCCACTCCATTAGTCTTGGACACGTGAATAGGGAAAGAAGCCCAGTTGCCCTTTGGAACAGTCACGTTGCAGGGATACACATGCGGCTCAGTCATGTCCGTGTCCTCGGGAATGCTGGTACAATTGGCCAAGGTCGCTTGGGAGGTGATATCCTCGCACTGACTGCACCAGCCAATCGACTGGAAAGGTGGCCAGGTGCAGTTTCCGGATGGACAGGTTGGATCCAGTCTGAAATCTGTGGTCCACACCCCCGCATAGATTGCGCCAACGACATCCTCCTCGTAAGCCCAATACGCATCATTGTCGAAGAGAAATCCATTTCGCTTTGCTATTGCTCGGCCGGTGCCATCGTCGACTTGTCGCACGGGATAACTCACGATCTGCTGCATGAACGCCTCAAATGCCAGAGCCAGGAGAGTGATTGCGGCTCCAAGCATTATCAACGCACGTCCTTTCTGAGGACGCGAGAATAGAACCGAGACCGAACCCAAAGGGCCCCGACTCGCTTCATCAATAGTCTGCAAGCTTCTGAGTTTTCTCTTCCCCGTCCAGAACCAAATCCATTTCAACTGCCCTATCGCCTCGCTAACCACAAAAATCAAAGACGACTTGCACGCGGTAGCCAGAATAGAAATGATGGTATTCAGCTTCAGACCCCATTTCAGACTCGGCGATGGCTTCTCGTCATAGACTGCCAGCACAACAACAATGGCGAGGAAGCTGAGAAAACTGAAACTCAAAAGAAGCGTCTCCCCATACCAAGTATCCATAGTGAGATACTTCCACCCGCGTTCTATCCTCGGCTGCGCGGCTGCAGAGTCGGATTGCTTTTCATCCCCACTGCCCGGGCTCGGAAACAACTGCGAAGTCGAGCCATGGTTGCTGGTCGGTGTCAGATCCCAGGTGCTGACCTGGTTTACCTGGGAAGTGTTGAATACCTTCTTTAACTCCATAATAGCATGTTCATGTCATTGAGAGAAAAAGTTTTCAAAACATGACAGCGAACGGACCGAATCGCACCCCTCCGTGATCGACAAAGCTAAGGCTGAATCCAAAGAATCAGCAAACGAGCGAACGGCCCGTCGACCCCTGAGCACGAGTTACTTTTGTGCCGCATTCTAGTCGGTTTCCTTCTTTGTTTTTCATCCTTATCTGTCAAAACGAGCGTATACATATTTGCATTTTATAACCCGGGGAGTATACATGAATCCTTCGCGTTAGTTCCATGGTTCGTTTGTTGCTTTCTGAGACATGACATGTGGGGCAAGCCAATCATAGAAGACGATTATGACAAGTGGGCGAATCAGGAAAGGCTTTGAAAGCTTGTCATGAAATGGCTGTGTGCATGGCTGTGTGCATGGTCATGTAGCAGATGCTATATTTATCGGGTGAGTTGATATTTGACAGTGTAGTATGCAGTATACAGTACAGTAATTTTGCTAAGTTCAATGCACATATCGTCGAGTTTGTCTATTTTATGTTGTATGTATTAGAACAGAGCCTGAAATGTATATATAAATACTCCGTGCCACCGATAATATCTCCATTTCGCCACACCGGCTTGCATTGTCTTGCCTACAAAAACCGATCTATTGTACATAGGAAGTTGACTATGCATGTAAAAATAGAATACCATCGTCCATGTCAGGAACTGCCCGCCCATATATCATACGATGCCAATAGGATGAAGTCCCTAACACTCAGACTGCACAGACTGTACAGGGAACAAGCACCACATAAGACGGGGATTAGATGATGTCTCCCCACTGATTCGGTAGTAGTTTTATAGTGAAAAATCTGTCTGTGCACTTCAATTAGTATGCATAAAACAGCACCCATCTGAGATATGGCGAAGGGGAGGAGAAAGTGCAGGTCATGCTTTTCTCAGCAATGTTAGACTCATGCAAGGTGACGTTATCACCAGTTGATTGCCGACATAGGCTGTCTATTTCCATTATGGAGTGAGGTCCGCATTTAATGATTTTCTTGCAATATCATATAACACACAACTGTGTAGACGTTGATGCACAGCATTTACTGTGTTTTACATTCCTGAATCTGGGGCCGAGGCTTCGCTCGTTCCAAATCGAAAAGAAAAAGACTTTCAGCCCGGTATTTCGCTCCTCAGATGGAGGTGCCTGAGGTATGGTGCGATTAGTGGTCGCTACCGGGACCTTCTTGCTTGTATCGATTCGTAAAGCTTGAGAGGAGCCATGCCGAACGGCAGGCTGGACAATCAGAATCCCAATCTTTCAAACTGTGATTATTTGAATTGATGTCTTGGGTTGCCCACCAATGGGGCAGCAAAAACGGTAAAAGGAGGACGTTATTTTTTGTTTAGAATCAGGATGATGAGCCCAATTGACATGGACGAGGATACTTGATGCGTTGCGGAATTCAGATTCAAGAGGCTTCACAGTCGCACGTTCGTTGTGCATCTATTAGCGTACGGTCTAGCAAGAGCTTTCCGAGAATATCAAGCCCTCGGGTATTACTTGACGGGTAGGATACCCCCGAGATGATGGGAGGCTGAATAGAAACACATTTTTGTGGTCATCATCCTCCGTCGACTTTCGAAGTCATTTATGGTCATATTTGACGGGAAAGTATGAAAAGAGTCTGCTAGATTCATGATGAGAATCATACTTGAGTGGTACTGATTGCTTTCAGAGGAACCGACTGCGGCGGCATCATGGTGATTTTCTAATTAGAAGATAGCGCGGCAACAGAAACCTCGTTAGTGTGAAGTACGTAACGGAGATGCATAAGAATGGGATCATACAGCTAGATAGGAATTGGATTTCATGTGTCAAAGAACAGAGTCTCATTTGCATCTGGCCACAAAACCCCCCCAAACGATTGAGGCCAAATGATGATAACCATCATCATTTGCGTATAAAAGTTTCTTGTAGGATGCTTTCTTTTTTTTCTCCTCGCGACTAATATGAGGTCCTTGGATATTTCTGTTACGATTCACGGTTTAGCCAAGGCGACTGCCTTTGTCTCATACTCTGTATTCAATTGCAACAGGTCAATACCCAAGTGCCGTCTGTTATACCGGCCTTGCGTACCAGTCTTGTATACCACATTCCCTCCTTGAGGTACCCGAATTCGGTATGTAGAACGGTATTTGCTCGGTATAGTACTGGAAGATGATTAGAGCCAGACGCTTAGTGTGGTAATTTGGCGTCCTTTTTAATGATGTGGGTGTAATATTTGAAGGATGGTAATGGTAGTAAGATAAAAAACCACCCGAAAGAGAATTGCTGGCATAAAAATGAAGGTCCCAATAAAAAGTAATAATGAGTATCACACACTTATCGAGGAATGCTTCTCTATAGCTGTTCTCGTGGCAATGAGAGTACCTAGTTCCTTACCAGAGCCTTGAATTGTCAATGTAAGCTTCTCTTCCAAGCTAGAATGGCTTTGGGATCATGAAAGAGACCGAGTGTGATCTACCGGTTCTGGAAGCACGCCTTCATTTGATGGCGTGTAAAACCACAGAAAATTCACTTCTGGACGATCTTTTTTGGGAAGACGTTTACCGCATTTTATGAAATGGTCGCCAGTTTTGTGGCGCCCTCCTGTATGAACAGTTATGGTGGTAGGACCTGCTTCGTTGAAATTTGGCCCCTTGACAAGCGTTTGTTGGAATTGGTAGATATAGCCCAAACAGCGGCTTAAATGATGGCATTGCAAAGAACTTCGAAGACTGCTTAATTGATTTATTTATCTGTGATGACCGGGGGCGCTCTGCCATCCTCGTCAGGAATCAGCACCGGCTGAATGAGGAACTAGATGCTCTCTACATGAGTAAGGAACGACGGCTCAATACGACACAGCTGCAAATAGTCCTCAAGCTTAGACTTTTGATGAAAAGAGCGAGCAGTCAAGTCTAACACAGTGAACTTTTTTCTCTAGTTTCTGCTCGAGAAATAGTGTAGATAGCGTCCCCCGTGCTACTTTCTGGGGTTTCTTGGATCGCGTCTTGGGTTCTTCGCCAAGAGAGACAGCGTCGAGAATGCCTTCCAACAAGCAATTCAACGACTTCAGTAGTTGCGTCTGTCTGAATAAGATAAGATCGCCAGTAGATCTAGGAACAGAGATCGGTCTGCGTAGCCGGCACCATAACCATCCTGACTTCGCGATACATTTCCGGATCCCTAACTGTGTATGTCTCGCCATATTCCTCTGCAGTCAAAAACAAAGAGAAACTGTACCGGCAGGGACCGGCATAGTGAAGACCTTCCTTATAAATGCTATTATGAATGACTTTAGAGTCCCAGTGTTTGGAGCCCCTCATTACTCTTATTACTATACACTCCTCACACTCGCGCGTTGAACACACTTTTCCACAAACGAGGAAGGCCATCGGTTTGAGGTATACAAGTACATTCATGATGAGCCAAGCTGCAATCTGCCCCCGGGGCTGATCATGTGACTCTCCAATGAACCATGGGACCGGTGCGGTTACTGGGCAATTCTCCTTACAAATACCTTTAGACAACGGAATCATTAACGCTTGAGCAGACTTAAAAGAGAAGAGCAGAGATATATTATTTATCTATATAGGTGTTTATCGTGATTATATGTTCTAATTTGCAATCCCCAGTCGTAATGTCGTAAAAGTGTGCCCCATAATGGATAACCGTGCCATAATCTAAACTGGCACGCCGCCAGTGCCGAACAATTCCATGTGGACACGCTCAGAGGCAACCCCCCGAGCCTTCAGGCTGTTGGAAATGTCATTCATGAATGTAGTAGGCCCACAGATATAGAACTCAGTCTGAGCATTGTCGAGGAACAAGTCCTTGTTGGCATCCATCTTGGACACATCGATACGGCCCTTGACGTCATAGTCGACGCCCTGCTTCTCATCTGCGGACGGGGAGCTGGTGAAGAAGGTGGCCCGAAGGTTAGGGAGCTGCTCAGCGCGAGACTTGATCTGGTCCTTGAAGGCGCGGACGGAAGTGGTGCGGGCGCCGTGGATGAAGTGGATCTTGCGCTGAGAGTCCGCGGGGGTGGAGGTCAACGTGTTGAACATAGAGGTGAGTGGAGTCAGACCCACACCGGCCGCGACGAGGACGATAGGGTGCGACGGCTCCTGCTCAGTCAGGAAGAAGTCACCGCAAGGGTGCGACACCTCGACCACATCACCCTCGTTGACGGTCTCGTGCAGAATGTTCGAGACGTAACCCGGGTTGACCTTGGCCTCCGGCTTTGCTGTGTTGAGACCAGTTTCCTTCTTCACGCTGATGCGGTAGTAATCGTCACGGGGCATGTCACTGAGGGAGTACTGACGGGCCTGGGGGTATTCTAGCTGAGGAACCTGCACCTGGATGGAGATGTACTGTCCAGGGCGGAAGCGGGGCAAAGGCTTCTCGTCGACGGGCTTGAGGTAGAACGAGGTGATCTCCGCGGACTCGGGGACCTTCTGCGCAACCTTGAACTCGCGCCATTGTGTCCATCCCTCGTTCTGCTTGTAGATATCACTTTCACGACCGATAAAGAGGTTGGCGAGTTGCCAGTAGGCAGCGGCCCAAGCGTCGAGGATCTCCGGAGTCAGGGCGTCACCCAAGACCTGTCCCATCGCTTCGAGAAGGAACTTGCCAACAATGCCGTAGTGCTCGGGTTGGATATACAACGAGGCGTGCTTGTTGCAGATGAGTTCGACCGCAGGGCCCAAGGCACCAAGGTTGTCGATGTTGGAGGCGTAGGCAAAGAGAGCGCCGGCGAGGGCCCTGGGCTGATGACCGTTGACCTGGTTTGTGGTATTGAAGATGGCGTTCAGCTCGGGATGGGCTTCGAGCATGTTTTTGTAGAAAACGGTGGTGATGGTGTTGCCATGCTCTTTAACGACAGGCACGGTGGCCTTGATGATTTCAGTTTGTTCGGGGGTTAACGACATTTTCGGTATTACAGGAGTAATGAGCTTGAGCAATCGAATAAGAAATCAAATGTACTACTGAGTGCAATTAACGATATTTATACTACTCCCACCGTTCGGGAAGAAGTCACCGGATGGTGATAAGTGCAGTTTTATATCTCCGCGGAAAGGCACGTCTGCCCAATAACGGACAGTGTGAAATCAGCGACCGATCCACTGATTGTCTGACGGCGGACCCAAGTGACTGGCTATTCGTCGCCTTCTGTTTTTCTTATCCAACGAGAATGTTTAGGAAGAAGCCGGGGAGTTTGCTCGGAGCCGAGAAAAGCGGACAAAAGGTCGATAGAATTTCGTATTCCAGACCGTACAGAGTATGTAAATGTTGCGTGACATACAGAGTACAGAGTACCAGCACACCCTTCTCTCACCCAGTTCTTTCGGTTGTTGGTCCCGGTTTATCAATCCTCCGTTCCCCTGGTATCCGGACATCTCGGATCGGGGTTTGATCGAACCGTGTTTCAGTCATGGTGTGCTCAATGTGATTCTGGATCACGAGGCATATAAACAGTAGGAAGACCAGAATAAGCAACGATACCTGAAGATGAGAGATGACCAGAAAGGTTAGCAACAATACAATTGAGCAAAAGAGCCAGTAAATATATATGGAGACTAGGGCCCAGCTATCCATTTAATTCAAATGCGGGTTGAAGCTCAATAGTTAGACCTATCCTGAGCTGGTATAGCAGCCCTAATTCTGTAAAGATGTGAAGACAAAACTGGCTGAAGACAAACTGCTGGACTGAAAGCATCACGTGGAGCACGTGATAAAAAAAAGAAAAAAAAAAAGAAAAAAAAAGAAAAAACGTGATAAGGTTTGATCGGATAAATGGTTGTCCCGAGTAGCGAGGCCAGGAGATACTTACAGTCGACGTGTGCACATATATTGTAGATTAAGCACTCAATCAGCTGTGTACGCGCATGTACGTTCGTTAGGCAATACACATCTTTCGTCAAGTTAGTCCTCTCCATATAGACCTCGTTAGTCCGGAATAATCGACTCCCGATTTCCCTTTGAGCTACGATCCGAGAGAACCCGCTTCAAAACGGATAACCAATGAAGCGGTTACACTCCGCTTCGGGGAAGTCGGTTAGTCGATTATCCGGACTGCACAAGGCTATAGGCGAGGAATCTAAATTACACTAAGGAGGATGGCATTGATATCTATAGACTCGTAGTCGGTAGAATGAGTGCTTACCATCTAAAATGTATGGCTGCAGTCCGTCGGACTCGGTAAACGGACCAATTGTTAATCCGTCTGACTTTCAAAAAGAGAAAGAAAGCGGTATATACCGGCAGAACTTCGGACAGCAGCAGGTGTATGGGAAGGAGAAAGCATATGGTGATCTGGACTTAAACAGAATCTCACATCTCACACTGGATGAGACGTACAGAGTACATCTGATGCCATTTATGCTAACAGGTAAATGATATACTCGCCCGGGATTCGAGCACCGGACTTCCGAACGAACAATTTTAGTACTACAGCAACATGGCTTTACAAAGGAGCTTCGCTTTGCCGTCTCTCTTAGGCGACGGACTTTCGGTATTTTCAATCCGATACGTGCTTTTGCAAACATTGAGTGATGTGCCAAGTCTGAAACCATGACGGATAAAGCACGGAGACGGGAGTCTGCCAGTTCAAAGTACATCCCACGTTCGAACACTCGTGGAGGATACTCTACGTGTAGAAATATCCTTGTATATGTACCGAGTACAGGCGCCGCTCGCTAACCGTCATTTAGTCCAGATGCAATGCAAGAGACAAAATACGCAGTACGAGTGAAGAATGCTACCCCGAACTAGACGGAGTATCCAGCATCATAGACTCCACCGATAGGCGATCGCACTGTATGGAGTACCAGTGGTCGGAGCACACTGGTTCCAATTCCCTCAGTCGCCTCTCTCCGATTCTCTCTGCCAATGACCATCGCGGGAGGCACTGGGACGCCGTCCGTGGCGACAAGCTCAAAATTCGGGAAGAAAAGTACCGGCGAACTGATACATTGGCGGATTGCACCGCGTGGACACTATTGATGGTGCACGGATAGTTACTCTTTAGAACTGCTAGCACAGAGGAGACTCACGGCGTTTGATCCACAGTCTATTGTTCTGCGCATTTATGTTTAATTAGACATGCAGGCCGGCGACGTTTACCCCTGCAAGTCCCAACCCTGAACAATTAACTTCGGCCACAAGTTATTGGCAATCTCGGCCAGAACTTTATGTTTTGAACTTAAGTCTGTCCTTGACACTTGACAGGCTTCTCGATTTTTTCCTGTCAACATTTTCTCTTGTCCGGCAGTTCACCACCTACGATTCGGCACGCGTCGGGCTCGGAGAGAAAGAAAGCGATAGATATCTCGTGTCATGGAGTCGAAAATGCCAACGGTTACCGACACGCAAGCGGCGGCCGCCGCCAATACAGGCGCTGAAGATGCCAGTCTCGCCAGTTCTGGGGATATGGAGCTCTTGGGTAGGTAGATGCGACAGCGAAATGTTGGAAGGGCGTCGCTAATATGATTGATAGCAAAAATGGGTTACAAGCAAGAGTTGAAGCGACAGTACTCGACGGTGCAGATTTTCGCGGTCGCATTTAGTATTATGAGTCTGGTTCCTTCTATCGCATCGACTATTTCGTTTTCGCTGCCGGCTGGACCGGCAGGCATGGTTTGGGTATGCTTAATTGCTTATTTAGACGTCGCAAGTGAGATTGCTGCTGACTGGGAAATAATAGGGTTGGCTGACTGCGAGTATCTTTATTCTGTGCGTTGGTTTGGCATTGGTATGCCCTCCCCCCTCTCTCCGTCGCATTCGATCGCATCGATAATAACGTTTCTAGTCGGACCTGGCGTCCGCGATGCCAACAGCCGGTGGTCTTTACTGGTGGACACATTACTTTGCGGGTAACAAGTGGAAGCATCCGTTGAGTTTCATGGTTGGATACAGCAACACCCTAGGATTGATTGGAGGCATTTGCTCCGTCGACTGTAAGTGATCGTCGCAAAGCTCGGGTGGAACGGCCGGCTTACAAGACTTTGATGGCTGCAGATACCCTCTCCACGATGATCCTCGCATGCGTTTCGATTGCTCGTGACGGAGAATGGTCGGCATCCAACGGTGTTATTTACGGAGTTTACGTCGGATTGATCGTCCTTCACGGAGTTTGCACCGTCTACTTCGGCACGATTATGCCCAAGATTCAAAACTTTTGTATCTTCATGAACATCGCTCTCATCGTTGCTACAGTCATCGCCCTGCCAGTCGGAAAGGTTACACGCGGGGAGTCATTGAACGAGGGAAGCTGGGTGTTTGGACATGTGGAGAATCAGACGACCTGGCCGACGGGATGGTGCTTCATTCTGGCCTTCCTGGCTCCGATCTGGTCTATTGGGTTCTTCGACTCGTGTATCCACATGAGTGAGGAGGCGTTGCACGCCGCGAAGGCGGTTCCCCTGGGTATTATGTTGTCGTCTGGCTCTGCTTGTGTGCTGGGATTCTTGATTTTGGCTGTTGTCGCTGCTTGCATGAACCCGGATGTCAGCGCTACCATCAACAGTGTGTACGGACAGCCGATGGCGCAGATTTACTACGACGCACTTGGGAAGAAGGGTGCTCTTGGATTTATGAGTGTCTTGATTGTTGCTCAGTTCCTCATCGGTCTCAGTTTGGTATGCTTTTCTCGGATCTAACTAAGTCGTAAAATACTAATCAACGAACTAGATCACCGCTGCCTCCCGTCAGGTCTGGGCCTTCTCCCGCGACGGTGCCCTGCCCTTCTCCAACGTCTGGCGCCACGTGAGCCGTCGCATTCGCTACCAACCAGCGAACGCCATCATTGGATTGATCGTCGTTTCCATCGTCTTCGGCCTGCTGTGCCTGATCAACTCCGTCGCCGCCAACGCGCTGTTCTCGCTCTTTGTCGCCAGTAACTACGTTGCATGGGGAGTCCCCATCATGTGCCGTCTGGTCTGGGGCAGGGATCGATTCCAGCCTGGAGAGTTCTACATGGGCTTCTTGAGCAAGCCAATTGCCATTGTGGCTGTTGTGTGGTTGTTGTTTGGTCTGGTGTTGTCTATGTTCCCTAGTGATGGGCCGAACCCGTCGCGTAAGTTGGCCCCTTTCTTGATGATGAATCTCATGCTAACATCAATAGCGGACTCGATGAACTACACTATCGTGCTCAACGGCTTCGTATGGGTTGCCAGTGCGACGTACTACATTCTCTTCGCGCGCAAGTGGTACACTGGCCCGAAGATGACGGTCGAGCATGGTGGTTCGCCCGGAAGTGCATCGGAGGACAATGATACTAAAGCTTAAGTTTTATTATTTTCTCATTTTTTATCTTCTTACATTCGTTTACTATAGTTTTAAAAATTTTATTTGATGTGTATAATTTCGGTTGATTGCATTGCATATAGACAAAACAAATGGACGAGGTCATGTTTTCCCTGCCGGTATATTATAAACAATGCAGGAAATATTATACAACGCCTCCATTCAAATCAGAGTTCAAAATGAACATGGTATCATGAAATAACAAAGGAAACCCAATATCTCTCTCCAATCATATCGGTGCTGGTGCTAGCTTACAGAGCAGCCATAACACCCAAAACACCCGCAAGACCCATACCGAACCCAGCAGCAGTCATCTGTGGCGCAGCACCCTCAGACGTCGAGGTGCTATCCGCACTCGACGAGGGGTCAGAAACCGAAGTCGAAGTACTCGTCGCAGTAGCATCACCCTCCGAGTTGGTCATCGTCGTGGTAATAAACGACGACGAAGGGGTAGCCGAGCTCGATCCCGACCCGCTAGCCGAGCTTGATCCGCTAGCAGACCCGCTCGTCTGCGTCGCCGTCGCAGACGAAGCTTCAGATCCCACCGAGCTAGTCACAGACGCAACAGCGTCGCTAGCACTGTTAAAAGCACTGCCCGCGGCGCCGGTGGCCTTCGAGTAAATGTTTCCTCCCTCGGAGGTGATGTCGGAGGCTGCGCCCTCGGCGCCGGTTACAGCTGCGGAAGCAATGTTGCGGCCGCCATCAACGGCTGTGGATGCGGCGCCTTTGGCACCGTCGACGATGCTGTTGATGGAGTCGCCGATGGAGTCTTGGGCGAGGACGGAGGTGGAGGAGAGGAGGAGGAGGGTGGTGAGGGTGTTGAGGTTGAGCTGCATTATTGCGGTTGTTTGTTTGTGGTTTAGATGAAGATGTTTATTCGTAGGATGCAAAGGGTTTGTTTGTATGGTCTTCCCCGTAAAATGAAGATGCAAGTAGTTGTTGAGTGATGGTAGATATGAATCTGGGAACCATTACCCCTTATATATCGGATCCCCGGCAATAATTACAATAGCGGGTGACCAGTCCGATGGGATCGGCAATAGCCCGGAAACCTCGCTGACAGGGCGCAGCAGGCGTGGCGTGGCAGGCCCTTTTTTCAGTGATCGCCACAGTGCATCAGGTCAACCAACCAGACTCCATATTCAAACCCTGAATAGAAACATTCGGAGCCTTGTACCAGTCATATTGCCCGCTTATACAGTACTGACTCAGCAATGCAGGAATCCAGCAGCCTAGTAAGCTATTCTTAGTAAATCCCAGCATACGAAATGCAATCCATGGATCGGCAGAAGCCTCAGTGTCTAATTGGATCGGTACACTAGTCATGGAGAAACCCCTTACCAACTATGTTCTGATTGGACACTGCCTTCGACTCCAGAAGCATCCCGAAAGGGCCATGTTTGAGGCTTTTCCTGAATTGGAGATGGCCAAGCAGTCACGGGGAAAGGATGACGTGGGCGTTTGTTATGTTGCTGCATGGTTATCGCTGGCTATTGCTTATTACCTGGACATAGTGCTTATTGTGTACACGGCAGCATGCATGGATACGAGCTCGAGTACGCAAGCTTCTGCTCGGTTAGGCCGTGAAGGTTCTTTGACATATGACAATGGATGTATGAATGTAGGATGTTATCCGAAGCCTCCGAACCAAGGACGGCAGGGTAGAATTCTCGGTGGGTTTTGGGACAATAAGGCTGTGTATTCCGTTATGCATCGTCACTTATCCCGTGGGTTCCGTGGAGAATGTATCGGGGACTGGAGGGAGAAAGGACTGGTCCCTGTCTCTTCTCGATGCTGTACGGAGTTCTCCGTAGACATCCCGTGTCTCGGCGGGAAGTGTTCTCTATTTCGAACTCGTATGCTATGAGAAGTTTGCATGGTAAGCTGTGCAGAGTACGTGGACTGTACTAGGCCAATCACATACGTGTTCCTGCCATGGCTTACCGCCTTTTCATTTGGCTGGCGGTGAATACTGCCGTTAGAATTCTTGTAGTAGGCGGTATGGAAAGGCAGAATTGGGGTTCATCTCTACCACATCCGAAAAACCAACCCTTCATCAGGCGCAACGTTTCCATCAGTCAGTCAATCTCAGCCTGCCTCGATGCCCTGTTCTTTAGAGACACTCCGCCCCCAAATCAGCCTCAAATTCGGGATATTCTTCTTCCTATCACTAATCCACTCCTTTCAGTTCGCTTGCAAGTCGTCGTAGTATGCTTGTCGTCCTATTTTCGCCATGACTTCGTCTCGAATGCCTGCGGTGTTGCAGACAACTGGGAATGTTTGTTTCAGGCCCTGAAACGATGGGGCCCTTTCATCGGGCGAAAAGATCTACAAGTGTTAGCTTTAGCTCAATCGATCTGGTAGACGAGAGGAGATCAGTGTACCATACCTTTTGCTTTTGCCCAACGTAGATACTACCGGTTTAACGCCCTGCAGGTTTTCTTCTTTTGCATTATACCCACAAACTTCTCCAAAGCACCATCCCTGCCACCAGAGTCGACAATTATAACTTTTCGAAGATTGAATCCCGACATCAACTTCACGGCACTTTTTATCTGCGAGTAATCGAATACCTCGGAGGAAATATGTGCATGCGGAGATGCAATACCCTGAATCACATCTCGAGCCTGCGTCACCTGTAAAAACGCCAATGGACCAGTATCGGGGGGCTCTCTTGTTGACAATATGCCATGTGAATCCCCGTGCCGTCTTGCTTGACGCAGATAAACCCACCAGCACGGCCTGCGACAAATCTGCGTCGAAATCGGCCTAGTGAGAAGACTTGTATTTCATGGGTCCGATGGGCAGATTGATGCTTGGGTTGGATGTGTATGTATACCGATTAAGTAGGTATCCGGTCTGCCAGATCGCACCAAAGAGGGAGAACCAGGCCATTTGGCTTAGTTGTTCCACTGTGAACTCAACCGCACATCATCCGGGAGCTCGTAGTGTTCTTTCACCTAGTACTCGTTATATGCAGACATGATTATCCCCCAACGCTCCGATACCTCAGCCCAATGGCCATCCAGCTCAGTACCTGCCAACTTCAAGTCCACAGGAGCAGACGCCATCGGCTAGTATCCGAAGAGGAGTGTCCCGGGATATAGTAATGGGATCCTAGATTCGACGATAATGCCATATCCCTAGGTCGGGACGATTCCCCATTGTGAATCGTCGTTGTATGGTGCTGGTGCGGATTGGCGAACTGGGTATGCATCCCACCTATAGATATACAACTTAGCGGCTGGATTAATTTCTCTGTCTGGAATGGATAATCATACCAGTTTAGATTGTATCCAAATCGAGCATAGCTCAGGTTATTAGATGCCAGACTTAGCACGACTGGCTGCACGCGGACGCTATCTGAAGGTAATCCTGGATAACTGGATTTCTCTACTGAAACAGTTGCATGGGCTCGGTTATTAGTCTTGGTTACCACGTGGATTTCCATTTTGGCGGGTTATTGAAACAAAATATAGTGATTGAGGTAGAACTATGGAATGCTCGTGTAGACCGGGCAAACGCATAAAATACCCCTCACTCCACCGCAATCATTATATATCATGGTTTAAACCAATCATACAACTGCAGCGAGATCTCGTGCTAATATAAACTTATGTAAGATTGAACTTATGCGATATTAGTGTACCACAGGCAAAGCAGATGTCATGATTAACGATGGATTTCGCAGCCTAGTTTTGGTATGCACTGTCGAGAGAAAGTATATATCTGTGGAGACGGTAGTTATATTTCCTGGGCGAACATCCATGGTATTATATGGCTCGACTTGCTCATATTGGTCAACTATATGTCTTGATAGGGCACGAATAGGGCAGCCGGAAAAGCCGAATAAAGCAATTATGTTGATTGTTAACCAATTTTAATTAAATCGACAATCATCAAGAGAAATGACACGATCAAGGAGAGATCAAAAGCACCTACGCACATAAGAGAAAACCCAAATAAATCAGAGTCAAGAAATCAAAAGATCAAACAAAACCACCGCAGCTAGTGCCTAACTCCTTCAGTATGAGTAAAATCACCCGGTCAACGGCACAGGAACCATTGGCGGAATCGGCGTATTCTCACCTGGCTCAATGCACTCTTCCATCCGTCCCAGGATATAACTCTGCCTGCCACAGTTTGCATTGTAGAAAAGGCAGAAACTGGAGAAGATCACAATGTTTTCAGATTCGTCCTTTGCGCAGACAGGTGCCCACTCGGGTGGACAGTCTTGTCGGCAGGGCGGAATAGTTGCATCAGGCACGGTTGATTCCTCTGGGACCTCTGGAGCTGGGAGGGCAAGGGCGAGAGGGAGGAGGAGGGTAGTTCCGAAGGTGAGTTTCATGGTGGTTTCTGTTGTATTGCTTTGATGAGTTGATTGATGGTAGTTTTGTGGGGGCTTGATGAAAATGGTGGCTGAAGAAGGAAAGAAGAAGAGAGGAGTCCCTCCGTGGGGCGGGCTCTTATACAGACGAGATATAGGCAGACATCGACACAGTCGTTGCTGTAATCGACTTCCGATACGGAAATCTCAGGCTTCAATAGCCCTTGGCCTTAGGCATCGGTATCCATATAGGGGTAAGTGAGAAGGGATGGTTGAATGGTGCGTTCCATCTAGGACATGAGCTTCGAGCATTCTCAATCACTGACGTCGATTTGGATATTGTTCCAGCCTATATAAGTGTCATAAATCAGAATTAACCGTTGTGGCGCACACACCCGTAGACCAAGACTCTTTTTGTCAAATGGCTGCCATATGTCATATGGATCATATAAAGATGATGGGCCCAGCTCCCACTTCACACAAACAACCTACTTATGCATTGGCGAAATATAGTTGAAGTATATGAGGTCCACTCAGCAGATTCGCAAAGTCTAGCGGACAGACTTGACATGTTTGGATTCATTGTTCCCTTGGGTGTCATACACAGTAGTGAAGTTGCATCTATAACTCGCGTATTCAAACGCATCTGCGAGGTCGAAAATGGAACTCTTAGATCGCTTTTCAATAAACAAACTTTCTAAATATACCCCCAATCTTCTAAGAAGCCTCAGAAGAGAAGAAAGATAGGCTCTGGTGAGTGAGCATGAAGATGATTGTTTCCCGATAGTGTGATTATCCGATGTGTACTACCATAGGGTTAGTGTCGCTCCCCGGGTCTTGTAACACGCCTTTTAAGGTGTAATATTGCTTGAAGATAGGAGTGCGGGCATTGGCGTATGCCCCAGTGTAGGGCCTTTCTGTATACTATCCGAAAATGGCTCACGCTATCGGCCCAAAACAGGGCATTTACCGGAACACGCGCATCGCAGCCTTTGAGAAAATGTACGAAACGCTCTCGACGACCACGGAAAGACCGCATCTGGAACTGAGTGATGGTCTCCAATGTGTCACTAGTGGCCTATAATGCATGTAAGTGAGCTCAGGGCTCATCGCCATGTAAATCCATCCAATGATAGATTAATGGATGCAGACGTACTGGCTCTCGGCCATCGGCATGCTCCACTATCAGGATGAGCAAGGAATTTTGCACTCAGCCCCAGAAAGTCCGTTGTCCTGTGGTCAATTTGGATGTTGTGTGTGGGGTACATCGCCCTTGCTTGTTTCAATTCATAGCCATTGGGTGGATGCGGAATGGTGCTTGAACTTCTTCTTGATGATATCATTAAGCGTACATTCTGGCGATGAAAATAATGTTTTGTCGGAAAGCTGAGAGAGTCCAGGTCTAGCTGAATAGTGACAAGTTATCATCCCCCGATACACTGACACAGTGTATACATCGAGTCACGCAGCAACCTCCCAACACCCATAAAGAGAGCCACCCGTTTTCGAGATAGCCATACTTCCTCCGATTCGACTGATCGTTTGAATATGGTGCGCTGATGTGAGATGAAAGCCCCAAAGTACGCCTTCGTACCGTTATAATTGGTGTTGTTTATGGAATGCATCGATGCCAAGCTGGTCACACGATATATCACGCATCCACTCACGCTTGGATTGTATATGTACTCCAAGCCACCGAGCAATTTCTAAGAACCATCCGTCCATAAATAACCACCACGAAGGATTGCCCAGAACCAGTCCTCGTATATGAACCCCGGGCCCGTTTCATCGGGGCTGACTCTCGCCACATTCTCGTATCCGTAATGTCAGTCTTGATTGGTCCCCCGTATCGAAAAGAACTAGATCTAAGTTAACGAAAGTTCTTAGAATACCGTATCTAAGCGCTGGGATTGGCTAGCTCATGATTGACATGCATAGACTTGCCGTATTCAGCTGCCCCGGATTCCGTAGCCGCAGCAGAATCCCCAGCATGGACTCTGATCCTTCTGCAGGAAGAGCTGCATATTTTTGCTATCATTGGATGTATCATATCTGAGACTCAGCCTGCTTCAGCTGAGTTCGTTTAGAGTGCCGAAACGGCTCCGGGTGGGAGGCGCATGGGCTTGGCTTTAAAACCTGATCTGGAATTCAGTAAGGGTTCTACCATTGGCCTATCAGCGTGTGTTAGTACGTCCATGGGAGGTATAAAAGGACACCAGCAATCAGCACATTGTTATCCATCACGACCATCAACAATTAAATTCTTCTACAACGCCCACAAAATCAAAACAATCCATCAATCATTCACAATGAAGTTTCTCCTCGCAACCATCACCTTCCTCATCCCTCTGTCCTTCGCACTTCCCGCACCGCAAGAGGGTGACACCCAGTGCCAAACCTTCTGCACACTGGAATACAACCCTCAATGTGGCAGAGACGAGGCTGGAAATACCAGGACCTTCTCCAACCCCTGCGTTTTCAGGAAGCACAACTGCGAGAATCCAGAGCAAGTCTACACGCAGGTTGAGCTCTCGGAATGCAATGACTCGGTATGTTGATGATCGGTATATTGGCGATTATCGCGCATAAGGCTGACTGTGTTCATAACTATAGACATCTAAATAGCATCACCCGATGCTGCGATTCAGGAGGAAAGGCGGCGTTGGCTATACGAGGGATCGGCGTAATGGGTCTTCAGATTTTCGCATGGCTGAAACACAGCTAAATCTTATCTGGCTTAGATTGCGAGAAATTCATCTAGCTGTATTTGGAAATAATTAACGTTTTCTTCTGTATTTCCCTCCTCATCTAGTACTGGGACTTGAAAGTTGCCACAAAAGAGAATCATACAACTCGCGACACTCGCGTACCGTTCCTATATTTCCCAAATATACTCCCTTCATCACCGTCCTCAGTCTCACTCTCCACCTTGACCTCTTTTGTCCGCCAAATGGCCCGGTGATCTTCGTTGCTCTCCGCATCGTAGGCTTCTTGCTCGTTGAGCGGCAGTTCCGATACGGAGGGGAGATGCTTGCAGCCGACGGGTTTAGGGTTGGAAGTGAATTGGAGACCAAACGCAGAAAGCGAGCCGGAGCCAGAGGAGGTGGAGGCGTCCTTAGTTTGGAAGGTTTTGCGGAAGAAAGGGCGTAGGGTTGGAATGCAGGCGGCGACTATGACGACGTTTTGTTCGATGCTGGAGGAGATAGTATTAGAGGCTAGTAGAGGGTAGAGACAATGAGGGTACTTACAGGCCCCAGTTCACTAACGTTACGACGTTCCAGACTGTTGATGTTAGCAAAATCCATCTATGCCGGGCCGATCTAGGGTCACTCACGAGGATCCGTCTTATCCGTAAATAAATGCAAATACGTCGCCTTGACAATAGTAACGATCGCAGAGAGCAACGTCAACCCCATCATAATGCACACGCTCAATTTCTTCGGAAATCGCATCTGTAGATTCCAAAACGCGCTGATGGGCATAATCGCCAACACAATATCCGTCATGGTCGTATACGCACTAAGCAAGTACGAATAGTCGTTGAAAACGGACGGATCCCAGCACGTACCCGGGAGAGAGGCATCCCACAGCTTTTCCATCGGCGAGCATTGCAGAAATACGACGAAGACGGATACCATGGCGAAGATAACTTGGACGATGGACATGGCGTAGAGGGCGTAAGTGCGGGGAGGATTTGGGTCGAGCAGATTGCTGACGAGGATTGCGATTGAGATGTTTGGGAAACTAAAGGCGCCTGGATATCTGTTAGGTATGTGTCATGAGTATGTTAGTTGAGATAGACCGCACGGACCAATGTTGAAAGCTGGGTTGGAGGTTAGCTATTCGGACGCTTCAAAAGCGCGATGGGCGCATACGGAACGCTATAATCTGCCATTTGGCTGTCATGATTGTTCCTTCAATGCCATGTTCGGCAATCACTGCTGCTGTGTGTCGACCTAGACCAAGGGTCACCGAGTATGATACTAGCGCCGTCGCGATGATGCTGAGGGCCTGGTCGATAAAATCAGCTGTGTTAATCACACATGACCGTGTTGGAAATATACTTACCAGCGAAAAGAAAATAAACACATCGTCCCAGCCGGGCTGCTTGACTATCTCTATCCGGGTAAAGATCTTGAGAGAAGTCGTCGCAATTGCGATACCCGTACACACCCACCCGACGACATTGATCTGTATCGCGCGACTCTCACTGAAATCTACATCTGTGTTGAGGCTCGCCATAGCTATTGTCGCGGAGAGAGTCGGCCAAAGCTAAAGACCCCTATACAGACCGCAAATCCGGGGAGAGGTAGGTTTTATGATAACCTTCGACGATGAGTCCTTTAGAAATCAAATTCTACGCATTGTCAATGTTATCATGATAATTAACGGCCTCTTTCTTCTTTTTTTGTTTCTTTTTTTCCTTTTTTTTTTTTTCTTCTTTTTTCCTTTTTTGGCCGACTAGTAGTCTTCAGCCCACATGAGTGCAGATGCACATGGATCTACTGCATATATGTAAGAAAAATATGAACCATGATAGGGGTTGAAACAATGGACTGGTGTCCAGGCATCAGCAATGGTTCCAATGAGAATGTAGAAGGATCAATTGACTCCAGTTAACTCCAGTTAACTCCTCGGAGCACTTCGGTGAGGACTAAGACTCGTCCAGCAACGCGACATAGAACACCGCCCAGTGCAAACCGGATCTCATGGTTCTTCCAGGCTAAGATCCCAGTCGGGGCCATGGTAACAGCGTTTAGTACGGTCTGGTCACTCGACGAACCACCTTTTTATAGGAATGTGTTGCTTATTTTGAGCCTTCCGGGGATCGTCGGAAAGTGGATACTCCAGTCGATCTGGGCCCGCGCAACAACATGTGAACAATGCTTGGAGTTCCTTCTCCCTGGCTGAGAAAAGCCTGTTCTCTTAATGACCATTATGGTGGGGTTAACCCATTGAATGTCATTGAACTACTACAAAGAGACCCAACAATAGGGTTGGACAACGTGAGCTGCAACAATCTGGACTGGAACAAAGAATAAATGCGGCACAGTCAATTTGAATTCTCGGAAACCGGGCCGCCATTTGTCATGGACGAGTAGACCCACACAAAATAGAACTAAACAACCGGTAGCTTAAGATAGTATCACGGATACGACGTTTTCTGCATGAACATGACTCGTGCACAAAATGGCAGGTTCGGAGCGAAGCGAGAGAAGTGGTGGTAGCGATGAGGCTATAGAACAAAACTCGCCTTTGATTGCGTGGCGAGGACAAAGCAAACTCCCTTATTCCAAGGATAGACTAGGCTCTGTCCCCTGACAGGGATGCCAAAGTTTTGCCTGGATTTCGGGGAGCCCTTCTAACCCCGCGGATTGGACTGACAAGCCCACAGTCTGACCATATTATACGCAACCTGGAAGGAGGGGCATCTCGACACGAGCACATAGACATGGGTATCGCTAAGGGGTGATAGTGGTTTTGAGTACCGGCAGTGAGGTTTATTAAAGGCAGTCATCGGGCTTGTTGACAGAAGTAGTGCCTCATCCGTATACTATTATTTCCTCTCAGATTTCAAAGTGCCCACCATGACAACGGTCGTATCCTCGATCCTGGAAAGCCTGGCTTCAGCAGGAAAGGCGTTCGACATCAATGAAGCTGGATCAAGAGAAGCTCTTATTGAGCACAGCCGTGCGCTAATCAGTGCGCTGGAAATTCCAAGCGAGTTTGTGCAGCGCAGTTTCTGGGCAGAGGTAAGCCTGATGTATTCTAAATCAAGGAACAATGCATAATGTGGTATAATCTCGATAGCCCGCTATGTCCGCGATCATTCGCCTTGCCGTCGACGTCAAACTATTCCAACTCCTGAAGGAAGCAGGAGATGCCGGCGTCACCCCATCCACCCTATCCGAAAAAACCGAAATAAACGAGCTCTTGCTCCGACGCCTAATGAGTCACCTAGTGACGATGCACATTATTACCTACCGTGATGGCGCCTTCCACAGCACACCACTGAGCAAGGGTCTCGCGGAAGAGAAATACCAACACAGCATCTCTTTCTGCTACGATGTTTCAAGACCTTCGTTCAACGGTTTCCCGCAATTCTTCAAAAGCACCAAATACAAAAGCCCCACCGCAGGCGGCATCGACGGCCCCTTCCAAGATGCACACAAGACCCTGCTCCCCTTCTTCGAATGGCTCGTCACAACGCCTCCGCACCTCCAACATTTCGACTTGTTCATGGGCGCCTACCGTGCCGGTAAAGCAAACTGGTACTCCCCCGGCTTCTACCCCGTCTCCGACAATTTGATCTCCGGCTTTGATCCCTCCATCAGCGACGTCCTGCTTGTAGACGTAGGTGGCGGAAGAGGTCACGACCTTGCAGCTTATGCCGCCGCACATCAGTCTGCATGTCCCGGTAGACTCATCCTCCAAGACAGGGAAGCCGTCATCGCCGACGTGGTGGCCGAGAACAGCGACAAAGAGCTACCTTTCGAAGTTCAAGCGCACGACTTCTTCACGTCGCAGACTGTCCGTGATGCACGCGCATACTATCTACATTCCATCTTGCACGACTGGAGTGATGAGGAGAGCATTTTGATTTTACAGAACTTGGTGCTTGCGCTGAAGAAGGGGTATTCTCGCGTGTTGCTAAATGAGATTGTAGTCATTGAGGAGAAACCGACACTGGCGGCGACGAGTATGGATATGATGATGCTGGCTCATTTTGCGGTTCGGGAAAGGACGGAGGCCAATTGGCGGGAGATTCTAGAGAAGGCTGGATTGAAGGTTGTCAAAATATATTCCTATCCGGGTATTGCGGAGAGTGTGATTGAGGCGGAATTGGCTTGACTTCCGATATATTGCAACATGCTTGTAAATAAATGAAAGAATACTATGGTCTTATTATAACCACTATTGAATGCCGGGCCCTCTCTGACCAATGGTGCCCCGTATCATGTAATGAACGACACCTGAAGCTATGTACTGATTCGTACGCTCGCTACGGGCCAGGAGAAACAGATATAGGTACAGGTCAGTTAGAGCAACTGCCCGAGCTCAGGATTTCTATCGTCGGGTCAAAAAGACCACTATGATGAGCAGCTGCTCATCATGCTCGGGAACTGATATAAATAGTAGCGCACTGTGTATGCCTGTCGCGCCTCAGCCTAACAAGGTCGTGGGAATTATTCGAAATCAAGTCCCAATTGTCATTGTTATACAACTTGCATTATTCTCCCACGGGCGGCCAAAGTATATATCATATTAGAGAGAAAAATGTCTATCGCTAGCGCTTCTGGTCATCCCCGGTACCCAGGGACTGTGCGGGCCGCGCCGCTGTCTCTCACGCGGGGATTATACCGACGTAATGATGTACATAGATATATGATTCAATCATGGGAGTCAGACCAAATCAATCGCTCGCCACGGGGGTGAATAGTAACCTTGAACAGTACGTACACCGCCAGAGTGGTTATGTGAGAGCCGGAGCCGATCACAGTTATGACCAACAAAGCGTGAGAATAAGTATCGCAGCCTTGCAGCATAGTCTCAAGGCAATATAAGCAGCGCTAGATCTGACTCTCTTTGCTCAAAACAACGGACAGCCATGGGTAATACTACATGTTTGAATTCTACAAACGTTTTCCAAGACTTCAAGACGTTTTCGGAATGTTTCAATTCATAGAGCAACAGCACTGATTTCCCAAACAAAATTGTTTATACTGAGACTCACTTTGGAAGAGTTATTAATGAATGTATCCAAGATTATTGCGACTCCACTCACCTAGATCTTGGGGGATGCAAGGATTACTCGAGCAGCGACACCTACCGGTTCAGATTGGAACCGGTTGTGAATTTTTACACACCAGCATGTGAGAGATTGAATATTCATGTCATTACGGACATAGCAGGCCCTGGAGTGCGTCTTGCCGCCATATATGACCCTCGTGGAGTGATAGCTGATTGTTGTACAGGCCTTTGCATCTTATGTTATGCGGATCATGATAATTGGATGTATTTGGCTGGCACTACGGGGCTTGGATCCATTGAATCCGGAAAAGACCAAAGATTCCAAAAGTCGAATGCGCATATATCTGAATAACCATCACTCCACCATTTGACTTTCTCTAATTGAGTTTCAGGAGGCTCAATGCTTCTTTGTCATTGCCATATAATTTACGTTTATCTTTTCCATGGCCGGGCGGCCGGAGCTATATGGTGCTACTAATATGCGTGAGCTCGAAGCAAGGTCTCAATGACAAGGGCAGTTTGTCACTGTGGCCTCAACTCAGTCACAATTGATCTTTGGCTCATGCAATCAGCCAATGTTAAGTCTCTGTACACCTTTATTTGCTCTTCAATGACCATATGTCTGTCCATTGCTGCGGTTCACATGGTAAATCATTGGCCACCCGCGCCACACGATCTCTCATTCCCCAAAGACAAGTATGCCTTGCACAAATGTGGGCATGATCTTCCCCCACTGGTGTGGTGTGGAAATGAATGGTATTACGGAGGAATAACCTGGTCCTTTCCAATCATCGTCTTTATATTTTGCTGTTTATTCTGCAACGCATTGTTTGATTTCATGAAAGCTGGCTCATTGGCCGGACGATATCTCCGCGATGGCAATTCTAAATGGTTGCAGAATGCCTATCACTGCGTGAATGGGGTACCTTGCCCAGCCAAAAGTACTAGATATAAGTGGAGAAAGTTTTTCGCGGCATTGAGATTCTGCATTGAGATTGTTGTTTTATCAATGGCTGCTGGGTCTATGATGACCACAGATTGGTTTGTTTACGTTGATCCAAATGAATGGAATCTCGGCCAGCTTATTACTGTGACAATCTGGGCACCGCCTATTGTCAAGTATCTATACTGGTCTTTGTGTGAGTCTAACTCCCGCCACGCTATGTTGCTGTATGCGAACCATTTTAGTCGGCATCGAGTCTTATCCGGCCGATCCGATTCCATTTCCATACAAAATTATCAACACAGATCCCAATTCCTCTGGTGGAAGTGTAATCCAATTACCAAGAGTTGAAAACTTATTACCAAATACTGCATGTCGTCCGGCTGAGCAGCTCAGCTTAGACTGCCGAAGAATTATTTCTCGACCTAGGGGTATATGTCCTATGGAGAGATTAACATAGTTGGTTGGACGAGTATTGTAAGGGGCTATACCCCGAAAGCTATTATTTAGCTATATACAAGAAGGATTCGATAGAGAAAGAAAGAACGCCAGTCGAGATCAAAAACTAATATAAGAGTCTGCGTGGAGGTATGCCCGATGTGGGTTAGGCACCTAACCAAGCTGTCATGTGCTTACGAGGACCTGCTCCGAGTGCTGACCTAGGCGTAGCCTATCATAAGTATTACTGGTAGTATGGATCACATATGACCCCGATACACTAGGGCAAGCAAAGGCTCTTACCTAAATTATCATGCACCAAGAAGTCGTTAAATAGAGCCGTTTGCTCGTCGACATTTGTACAACAGAACTTTTTTTCTTTCATCCTTCTTTCGTCTATCAGACCTCGAGATTAACATTCACATGTCCTACATTAAGAACATCTGAGCAACCCGGTTCTTTACCATGAGAATTACTCTCGCAATCCTTTTGCTTCCATTGTCCGTAGCGCTTCCCCAACAAGATAGGGCAATGCTAGAGATTGGCCAGAGGTACGCTCTGCCTTTTGTGATCCTTTATATACAATAGACGCAGACAAGAGCCAACGAGGGCTTGGAAACTTTTTACTTTATGAGAATGATATTTGTCAAATAAACGAATATGTAGACATCGTACTTAGAAAATGTCCATAATAATCTAAGATATGACGCTAACAATACTGCTGTAGAAAACATTAATATAAGACTAACCACCATATACATCAACGATAGGGCAGGGCTTTATTACTCTAATGGCACATGGCGAATCAGTTCGATGGATGCAGCGCATTATAGTTGATGTTTCTAATGGATTCTGAATTGAATACTGCTGTGAGCTGTCCTACCGCTGACATGTTTTATGACAAGTACATGACTATACCATTATTGTTCGATAGGTGGTTCACGTCATGTTCACAAGATGAGCCCTTATGCATCGCCACCTAGGAACCCTTTAGGCAGCAGGCCCAGTCAGGTCCCTCTTTTCAATTATTTTCATTCTCTTACCCATCCTCTACTCCTTCACACACACCGAACCCTCCACCTGAATCAACTTTTCACGATGCAACTAATCCTTGTAACCCTACTGCTCTCCCTCTCCTTGGCTATTACCGTCCCTTCATTTGAGGAGGCACCTGCTGCGGAAGAGACCATAATTTCTCCTAACTCTTGTGCGGGAGTCTGTGATGAACTGTCATATTCTATATGCGGCAAGAATGCAGACGGAGCCTTTACAATTTTTGACAACGCTTGCTTGCTCCGCAAGGCAAATTGTGATGGACTCTCCTTCGTTCAGGTGCCACGCGAGGAATGTTCTGACACGCAAGTATGATACTATGATGTGCCATAACATATATAACGCTAACTATCCTAATCTCAGGTAATCAGAAATTATGATTCCGATGATGAAGAGAAGGATAGTGATAATGATGACGCTCTGAAGACTGTCAATCACCCCTATAGGCCTCCCAAAGGGAGCCTGGGCAAGAAGAAGGGCCATAAGAAGGGCAACAAAAAAGACAACAGCAAGGGTAAGAAGAAGGGCAAAAAGATCTGGTAATAACCAATCAGAGATACATTCGAATGAGTGGTCTCAAGAACCTGCCTCATATAGCTTGATGGCAAAGGAACCGACGAGAAGAGCATTGCTTGTATATGCCGATTGTCGCTGATTGTTGTACCTCTTTTTTCATGTGATGTAGTAGCTACAATTGTTATCTTGTTGCTTCTTGGAAATTTTTAATTGTCACTTTAGCTTCCACATTCTCGGAGTCAAATACAAGAAGTTATTTAATCAAGGTGAAGCGAATCCATAGTTATGTCTACTGCTTATATAGGCATATACAAGGGCACATTTATCTTACAGCGAGCTTGGAGATTGGACAGTATGCGAAGGAATATATCACGTCCAGTGTATATATGAACATAATACTGTGAACCTGCCCAGCCCTCTGCTTTCTAGCGTGGTTTTATGGGTACTAGCTGAGTTATGAGTGACGAACTTTAAGCGAAGCATACACTTAGGACAAGTGCAAATTAACATTGAATATGGGTTCCCAATGAGGCTATAAATGCAGGTATTTCCCTCCCTTCAAGATAATCAATTCTATGGAAGCAAGATCCTATCGGCCATTACTCCTTTCATTTACTTTTCTTATAATTATTACATCTTTTAATAATCTTATTCCCATTAATTTTCCGCATTCGTGCCTTTCCCAGTTCGTTGACAAGGTGATGGGCAAAAGAAGCTTTTTCTGAGATGAAGAGGCAAAAAGAAGGCGCCGTAAGAGCTGGACAGAAAATGTGTTGACTTCCACACATGACGTACGACTTATGGCTGCCCGAGCATATGTATGAACGGATATGACTATAATGATAGGACCGGGGACTATGGTTATGCAGCCAGCATCCTTCGACCATGGCTACTACATACATGCGTTATGCGCTTTGTGCTCCTTTTGTCTCTTTGGACTTCTTTCGCAACGACCTTCCCTTTTGCGCTCAGTTAACGGCCGCCAAATTGTGTATGAAAAGGCCGTACGATAGATAGATATCTAGAATCAGAGTTCTTCCTCTATTCGTTCTGAATAGTGCCTATGAAATCCTTCGTGTGACAGCCTGGTCACGTTGGCTGGTTATCACATGAGATGTGGTTGTTTGCTTTGTTGCTTTGTCTATAAATATGGCGTTACCTCCTTTCTTCCTTCCTCATGTCAATTATCCTCGTCAATAGCTATCTAGGTAGAACACATGAGTTGATGTTCCATAACCTGGCTGAGCTCCGTGACA